CACCCAGACTGTAGTGCAGTGGTGTGATCTTGGTTCACTGCAACCTCCGCTTCCCGGTTCAAACAATTCTCGTGCCTCAGCCTCTCGAGTAGCTGAGATTACATGCACATGTACTACCTCGCCCAGCTAATTTTTGTATTTTTAGTAGAGACAGGGTTTCACCGTGTTGGCCAGGCTGGTCTCGGAACGCCTGACTTCAAGTGATCCGTCTGCCTCGGCCTCGCAAAGTGCTGGGATTACAGGTGTGAGCCATGGCCATTTAACTCCCAAAGTATTATCCTCATAATAAACCTTTTCCTTTTTTCTTGCTTTTAAAAAAATAAAATAATGAAGATTTCTCCCAGATGGGAGAAAAATAACTTCTTTTTAAAGCAGGCAGCATATTCAAAGGGATGTCTGGAATAATTATTTCATGTTTATAGGGCTGTGGCTCTTAATTAAATACTTTACCTTCCTCATATTATTCCATGTTGAGTGAAAGGCTACTGGGGAAGATGTTAATGAATTACTTAGTAATGCACCATACCCTCACAGTTGGGTAATGATTGCTCTTCCCAGAATCTAGAGCTAAACCACAGCTCTGGAATTTGCCATCAGGAGGGTGGGATCTTCCACTGGCTGTCCTTAACCATTTCCTCCTTCGATGCAATTTTGATTTTAGTGGAATCCTGCCAGCAGAAGCTGAACTGATGTACATCAATGAAGTCGAACGTTTGGATGGATTTGGACAGGAAATCTTCCCCGTAAAGGTAATATGCTGTGCCCTGTGTTGGTTTTAACCTTCTCAGAACAGTACTGGCATTTGGAAAATCAATGTTGATAGCAGTGGGCCAGAATGGCTTGGCCCTCTTTTTGCTATGCAGCATTAGTTGGCAAGTCCAATTTATTATAGATAAACAGATTTTTTTTCTTAACCAAGAGATGTTGAAGTTTTCTGTGGTCCTCAGCATAAGAGCTCAATAAGACAGTCCATTTAAGTGAGTACCAAGCATCAGTCGATCCAGCACTTTGGAGGTATCAAGGCTGATATCCAGCCCTATGACAGGAGAAGTAGCCAATGTCATGTGTAACATTAATCAAGACTCTAGCCAGTAGTTTTCTTATTCCCTTTTCCTCTTCATTGAGCCAATACAGGGATAATTGTTTGTGAGGTAGAATGAAATGTCTCCTGTATACAATCGTATTTTATTTCTCCAGCTCTGTAGGGCCCTCCATTGTGGGTTCCCAGCCCCTTTGGTGTTTTATGGAAACTATGCCTAGGAAACTGCCACAGCACATCACATTCTTTGCAGCACATCCACCTCCTGAAGTGGGTGTGGTTGGGGGGTCATGGAGCCTAGTCATTTATAGAGCTGAGCCCATCATCCAAACTCATTTTCCACTCTCTGGTGACCTACTTTACAAAAAATGGAGATTTATCAGAAACCTAAAGCAACTGGCACATTTCAGCAATTTGGGAGACGCCTGCAATTTCAGCACAAACATTTCACTCCAGACTGGCTCCGCTGGCTGTTTTATAAGTGTTCAGTTCCCCCTCTGTTGCACGTTTGCAATTTGCCTTAATGAGAACTGCCCGTGTGCATCAAGTGGAATCGAGCGGGGTGGCCGCAGCTTTCAGAAAGGGCTAAATGGCTCTTTTTTAGATTTGTTTAATTTTCTTTTGCTTCTCTAATAGCTGCCCTTCATAGGGTTGTAATCCATTTTCCTTGCAGTAATGCCTTATGAAGCCATCTGCATCCCACTTAAATTTCTGCAGCCCATATATAGTCATATTTTGGGTCATTGAAAAATCAGAGTAAACTTTTCTCCACTTCTAGAAAACTGACTTCTCAGTCCCTGGAAGTTGGAAGTTTTGTTGTGGCGATTTGCTTGTGTTGTTTTTTAGTAATTCTGGACTGCAGGAAACAGGGGCTGTTGTGAAATCTGCTGTGGTTGGTTCTGATGCGCTTTCTAGTATGTTCTTTCTTTAGTGGAACCAACAGGGTTATAATACCTTCCTCTGAGTTGGAAGACAGGCACCTCTGACTCATTGCCAAGATGGGGTAACTGAGCTGCACTGCCTGTTTTTCCTCTTTCCCCCCACATATCTGTGCATACCTAAGGTGACCAACTAAAGACTGCATGATTTCTGGTGACCCAAGGATGAGCGTGGGATCGACAGTAATAGTGGGGGTGGTGATGTGGTCAGCTCTGCAATAGGTGAAAAAGCATACAAGAAAATATGCAGGGAAGGACTATGGGTGGGACTGGAGTCTCTTGATTGGCATAGGTTCTTATTGACAAAAGAAAAAGTGTGTCATGGTATATCCTAGGAAAAACATTTGAATTTAGCATGGGCTTTTTCATGAATGGTTCCTCAAAAATTTTCAAGACTGGAAGAGTACCAGTCCACTTCCTAACAAGTCTGCCCGTCCTCTTCCACGGATACAGGTGTGGCCCCTGCCTGAGTCGCTCCTGTATTGTCAGAGCACATAGACAAGGCAAAGTGTGCTTTTGGAATGGGTAAGGCAGAGTCTGGAGCCTTTATCTATTGCTAGGTTGGACTTAGAGCCCTTAAGCTTTGACCAGTGCAGTGTCCCAAGCATGCTGGGTAGAGTAGCTTCCAGAGGCACCCCTGCTGTGCATTTTCCATTGCCCCCCCCACCCCCAGGTGAATAACTCTTCCCTTATCCCCATCCCTGCAGATCCACCCACAAAGTGCCCAGGGAAGTGTTTCTGCAGAATTCCCCTTTCTCTTTCTAACTCCACTCCTCCTATCCTCTTTTCTCCTCTATACCTTCTGTAGTGTAACCTACCGTTTCAGCTTCTCAGAATCACCATTATGGGACAGTTCTGTTTCATCTTCGCTGGTTCTTTGTCTCTCAACACTCTTTTTGCTTTGCCACCAACAGGGATTGTACTTTCTTTCTCTGTTAGAAGACTCTTATTGGAATGTAAGCTTTAGGGGGTGAGTTGAGAAGTGTCTTCTTCATGCCTTAAATGGGATCGAGTATTCTAGGGAATGTAGAAGTCCTTCTTTTCCCTCTTAGTCCTAGTTGTGCATGCCCCCACTCTTGCTTTAGAAAGAAGGCAGTCCATCTAAGTGAGTACCAAGCATCAGCTGATCCAGCACTTTTACCCCCAGGGGAAAGCAGGATTTCATTTCAGGGACTGACAGTTTATCTACTAGATGTCTAGTTCCCACTCCGCTCTCAGAACCCAGGCAGCCAGGTGATGCTTGCCCAGACAAGAGATTGGAAGCACCTGACTGGACCAAGAGACCAGGCTGAAGATAAGAATATGACATCTGGGGTTCCCCAAGACAGCGCTTAGGAGATCAGCCACGAGTGAAGTCCACAAGCCCCTCCTGTGCTTAGAGAGCCCCCAGCCAACATTTAGCAACCGATTCTCAAATGCGAACGGATAGTCAAGTGTCACCATACCCAGTGTCCTAATAGGTAAGACAGAGGCCAACATCATAAGAACAGCCGTGGACTAGCAGACGCAGATATTGTACAGGAAGAAGAACCCCCTGCTCAAAATACTATCCAGTGAGCCTCAGGACTTTTTTTTTTTTTTTTTTTTTTTGCCTCCTTGAAGGAATAAGGTACTTAAAAAAGATGCATTTAGAAAACAAAAATAAACCCTGAAATTAAAAATATGGTATCAGAAATGTACAACTTAATAGACAGATTAGAAGGTAAAACTGAGACAATCTCACCAAAAAAAAACCAAAGTAATGGAAACTCGGGGACGGGAGATAAAAAAGTTAGAGGACCTGTCCAGGATGTCTACTGTTTGAACAGTGGGAGTTGAAAACAGCGTGAACAAGGGAAGTAAAAGGTAATTATTTGAAAAAATACCCCTGCACTGAGGAATGGGAGGTTCTGCACTGAAAGGGCCGGGCATGGTAGCTGCAAAGAGACACATCAAAGTCTTTAAGAGGTGAATCTTTTGGCCTCTCAGCAAAGGAAGTGGTAGGCACAGGTCTGCTCCTTGCTTCCTTAAACAAGCCCTGAAGAATATTCAGCTCTCAAACTATTGTATGTCTAACGATTTAAAAAGCAAAAGCTTTGGTAAGGTTAAAAAATGAAAGACATTAATAGATGTTCATAAAAGAGAAAATCCAAATGCCAATGAATCTGACAAAATCCAGAGGCTCTCTCTTAAAATGCGTTGTGACAAATTGAAAAAAAAAATATTTCGTTCTATATATAGTCCACTAGGATGTGTGGTGGGTGAGTTCCTGTAGGACTTGACCCCACCGACACAGTTGGTCGCCTTACTGCTCTGATGTTGTCTATGATTCATTCTACTCGTGCGTGAGAAATGGGGTGTGATACCTGTGGGTTTTGAAATATATGTATATTGTGGAGTGGCTAAATCCAACCAAGTAACATATGCATTACCTCAGATACTTATTTCCTTGTGATGAGTGCACTTAAGATTTACTCTTTTAGTGATTTCAAGAATACAATATATTATGGCTGGGTGCAGTGGCTCACGCCTATAATCCCAAGACTTTGGGAGGCCGAGGATGGAAGATCACTAGCCTGGGTGGCATGGCAAGACCCTGTCTGAAAAAAAAAAAAAAAAAAGAAAGAAAAAAAGGCATGGTGGCACATGCCTGTAGTTCCAGCTATGTGGGACCCCGAGATAGGAGGATTGTCTGAGCCCAGGAGGTGAAGGCTGCAGTGAGCCAAAATCGTGCCACTGCGCTCTACCCTGAGCAACAGTGAGACCCTGTTTAAAAAAAAAACAAAAAAACCCACGAATACATTTTTACTAAATATGCTGTGGTCACCATGAGATCTTGAACTTATTCCTCTTGTCTAACAAGTCTTTATTTCCTTTGACCATCATCTCCCCATTCCTGCCATTCCCCAGCCTCTGGTAACCATCAGTATACTCTCTGCTTCTATGAGTTCATTTTTTAGATTCCACATATAAGTGGAACCTGTGGTATTTGTCTTTCTGTATCTGGCTTATTTCATTTAGCATTATGTTCTCTAATTCCATGTGTATTGTGGCAAATGACAATTGTGTTTTGTTTTAAGGCTGAATGGTTCTTCCTTGTGTATATGTACCACATTTTCTTCATCCATTCGTCTATGGATGGACACTCAGGTTGATTCCATATCTTAGCTATTGTGAATAATGTTGCAGTGAACATGGGTCATCACAGGTCTCTCTTGTTGGTCTTACCCAGGACAATCATGGAAACTGTGTACACCTTGGCATTTTCTTTATGGGGATTTTCGTGAGGAACAGAATTGGAAGACAAGCAGTAATATACAGGTAGTCTTGTTTGTTTTTCTTTTTCACCTTGAGGGACTCCAATGTTAATGTAAATTAACATGTTAATTAAGGTTATCCAAATGAGTTAAGAGCCAAACTGGATTAGATTTGACCTTCCTCAGCTCATATAAAGTGAGCCCTCTGCAGGATTTAAGCAGTTAAATTCATCTCACTTTTTGTAGAAACCCTTTCCACCTGACTCCAGGAAATACATTGTTGAACCCTATTGAGTTAGAAGAGTGAAACTAAACTTCCTGAGTCTGGCTGGAAACTGACTCTCCAGTCAGTCATTAAATTTAAACACTTCTTTCCATTGTTCTGCATTCTGTGCCTCACCACCACATGTGCCAATAGAGTGCAAACTGATTTTTATGTGAACAAAAGGTAATTATTTTTAAAAACATGTTTTGAAAATGCAATCTATTATGATGAATTAGAGGGCTTTGGTACTTTTAATTATTTTGACACGTCAGTCCTCTTTTCCACTTATCAGGCCTGGTACCAGTATAGAGATGCAGACGTCTCCTGCTGCATTTCATGTCAGTATGCTTGCTTTGTATTGGTGCCCTGAAAAGCTGTTCTGGCTTTCATTTACAAGGCAACATGGCCTGTGATTGGAAGAACAGCTTTCTTGTATGTGTGTCTGATAGGCGGATCTGTGTATCCAGGGCACATGATCAAAGATAGCCCTTGGAGGCACGCATGGCCCACCTTCTGGAAGTGACTCTTGATTGGCTATATACTCTTTGGATCAGCAGCTACTGTAGGTCACTTTGAGACAGTTTTCTACCCAAAAGCTTCCTGATTGGCTTTTATTTTCCTAGATCCCCAATCTGCCATTGTTTTTTTGATATTCTCTTGCTCTCTGAATAGAGACATTTTTGAAGCAGGAATGACAAGAGAGATCTTTCAGGATATAAGATAAACTTTTGGACTTTTGGTCTTAGTGTCAGCTTCATATACCTGCCACAAAGTATGAATTTATTGAGGAAAATATGTAAATATGTGCAGAGTTGTAACTATAAATTTTTATACCCATTCAAAGCTATCCAGGCATTTTGGCCTACCAGTTCTCCATAGTTAAACTGATGTTTCAGTTTCTCTTTGAACCTACAGCAGAGAAGTAAACAAGTCGTGCACACTGGCTTTTGAAGTGAAATAGAAGAAAATTGCAATTTGGAAATTTTATGAGCATAAGCCACTCACAGGTTTTGCTTAGTTTCCTTAGGAACTGCTTCCAGACTTTTTCATTTATCTTGAAACCACTACAAGACAAGAATTCACATCTACTATAGTGTCATGTTAATTATACCACTAGCTGAAGTCATGTGGTGGGGCTCTGAGTATATCTAGGATTTCAGCAGTTGATTTGAAGGAATGAAGCCAGAAGAAACCAAATATCTCTTATCTCTAGAGACCTTCACTAAGGAGCATGTAGCTATGAGTCCACGTAGATGTAATCTGATAGAACTGTAGGTTGTGAAGCAAGCTGGGTGCAGCACTTGTAGAGAGTATTGCCCCAGCAGACGTACCTAAAAACATTTGTTACTGATACAAGGGAATGAGGACTGGAGGAAAGTCTGGGAACTACAGGTAAAGAACTCATCTATCCCTGAGGTACAGAGGAAATGTGCTAAGTCAGATACTTATTTGTGTCTGAATTGCCTCATTTTAAAAGCAGGAGCAAAAATAGAGAGTTGCCGTAGAGAGTTGTTGTAAGAATCGGAGTATACAGCTGAAAGGCAATATTATCGCTTTTTATTCTTCTAGCAAACATTTATTAAGTGCCCTGTGCCTGGTACTCAATTCAGTGCTTGGAACACAGAAATGAAGAAGGCAGAATCCCTGCACTGGATATGGGGCCTGTGGTCTACTTGGTCTCATTAGAGATCTCGTCACAGAAATAAAAATTATAATGCAACGTGGTGACCGGTAGAGGACCACAGCGGGCTCTTGTCTCCTGTGGGTAGTGGGGAATGAGGAAGGGATTCCTAGAGAAGGTGACTCCCAGAGCTGAGTCTCAAACTTGTTATCCAAACAGAGGATGGTGGAAGTATAATGAGCAGGTGCATATGAGTAAAAAAGCAGTGGCAGGGAATTATAGGTTGGGGCACCGGGTGAAGGGTAGGTAGTGGTTAAAGATGGTTAGAAACTGGTTCCAAGTAGGATGGGAAGCGGCGGCTTATCTTTCCCCATCTGGTGCTTATTTTCATTTCAGATAAGGTCTCCATGAAGACAGGAAAGGAAACACTCTGTGTGTGTGTATGTGCGTGTTAGATTCCAAAAGCGTAGTTATATTAAACAGTCCCTAGGAAACTGTGTGTGTGTGTGTGTGTTTGTATGTGTTAGATTCCAAAGCATAGGCACATTAAACATTCCCTAAGAAACTGTATGTGTGTGTGTGTGATCCCAAAAGTGTAGGCATATTAAACAGTCCTTAGGAAACTCTGTGTGTGTGTGTGTATGTGTGTGTGTGTGTGTGTGTGTGTGTGTGTGTGTGTGTGTGTATTAGATCCCAAAAGCATAGGCACATTAAACAGTCCCTAGTCATCTTTTCTTAGGTGGCATCATGAATCTGCAGTGCATATTAATACAGAATATGTGGATTCTTCTGTTTAGGTTCCCAGAAACACGTGACTTTTTAATAATATATGCTCCTCCATCACTAAAAAGTGGAGGTCATGGGAAATGTTTTGTTACTTTGGAAATGTGAAAAAAATGGGATGGGGGCAGCAAAAGTCCCTTGCAGATTCTCCTCATTGCTAGTCACAAAGAATACTATACTTTATAAACAGCAATATCTAGACATACTTTATGTAGAGTTTTTAGCTATCTGAATGGATACATGTTGCATTTTCTTTACTTTTCCCCTTTGAAAGAACATTACACTTAAAAATGGTTAAATCGTAATTTATAAAATGAGATCCGATAGCAACAAACAACCCTCCTATGGTGTATCATAAATGCCTGGAACATCTTTGGGTAAAACACAGTGACATTCCTTTTGACCAGGTGGAATGACATGGGGAATATCACTCATAACAAGTCGACCATTCTAGTGGAGCTCCTCAATAAAGAAGAGACTGCCCTCTTTCACACGGTAAGCAAAACAGACAAACAGAGGCAGGGGCTGACAAGACATTGGCTTTTGGACTTTTCAACTCCTCATGTCCTTTCCTGGCTCTCCTTATCTTGAGATAATAAATATTCTCTTGAAGAGATGCTCTCTAGTACTTGCTCAATGCTATCATTACTCATTTCAAAATAGTGGTGCTGAAATACCCATGTTTGAAATACCAGATTTCCGGCCAGGCATGGTGGCTCATGCCTGAAATCCCAACACTTTGGGAGGCCGAGGCCGGTGGATCACTTGAGGTCAGGAGTTCAAGACCAGCCTGGCCAATACGGTGAAACCCCATCCCTAATAAAAATACAAAAATTAGCCGAGCATGGTGGCGGGCACCTGTAGTACCAGGAGGCTGAGGCAGGAGAATCTCTTGAACCCCGGAGGCAGAAATTACAATGAGCCGAGATCATGCCACTACACTCCAGCCTGGGCAACAGAGCTAGACTCCATCTCAAAAAATAAAATACTAGGTTTCCAAGCTGACTTTTGACTCTAGGACCCCGGTCCCTCCACCTGCCTTATGTGTGATGGATCACGTTGTCTGGCACTCTAGTTACAGCCCTCCTCTAGTGACCCCTGATTCTATTGCATTGCATTTGCTTTTGCTGGCGGACCTGAGTTTTCTTTCCCATTGTGGCCCAAGCTTAATCTGAAGTAAGCTGAGCCATTGACCTTCTGTTGAGTGCCTCCTCAAGAGCCAAGGCATCTCACTGCCTCCAATTTAATGAGGTCTGATGTTTATTCTACGCTCTGCCTTGATTCAGTTATTTATTTTGAAAGCACTTGGTTGGGAATTACATAAAGGCATGCCGGTTCATCAGTGTAACCCCAGCACTCTGGACCTAGGGATTCCTTAGCAGACAGCGTGCTCCGCCACTCTTTGGTAGGCTTTGTACGCATAGCTGCTGCCGAAATTCAGCAGGCTGGTTGACTTGCTGGCCCATGTGTTGGTTTGTGCTTGAGATGAAGGTTGGAAGGGATGTGCCCCTCCTCAGAAGAATTTTAGTGAAATGTGTAATCCAACAAATGTTGATTTTCTTTTTTCTCTGTGTCTTCTTTTCCAAGGATGATATCGAAAATGCCAAGTACATTTCTCGGTTGTTTGCCACACGACACAAGTTTTACAAACAAAACAAAATCTGCACGGAGTAAGTAAACATTTAGTCCCCTGCCTGGATGGCTTTGTCACATTATATTCATGTCCTTTTGGGGTGTTGTGTATCGCTTTTCCTATTCACTCTTTTTCCTTGTTTCTCGTAGAAGCTAAAGAAGTAAGCTAAAGCCAGGGCAGGAGGGAAAACTTTAATGATGAAGACTGTCTGGTGTAGTGCATATGCCCAGAGAGCGAATAATTCACAAATTGACTGTGAATGCTTGGCTGCCTGGATGGGTTGGCCCACATTAGCGCCTTTCCAACCCTCTGCTAGGAGTTTGGAGGAGTGGAGCAGTTCCCAATTTGCCAGGGTGCCCCTTCGTGTCAGACGCGGAGTGTGTTCAGAAGTGGGTAACAGAGTGACGAGCTAGCTTGAAAGAGAAGACGCTCTGTCATCCTCAGCCCCGTGTCGCTTACACAGTTGGCTAACCCTGCGTGTGCTCCTGGGTCATGTCATCTGACTGTAAATGAGAGGCCAGGGTAATTAGAGGAAGATGTGGAAGACACTCATAGGTGTCCCAAATCCGTGTGTATTTTTTTAATTTAATTTGGAAATAAAGAGGAGTGTGATGAGGGCACTTAAATGCGGCCTGACCTCAGATGAAGCGTGCTGGGGCTCACTCTATCATTGTCTTTTTCTTGGTTACCTTCAAAAGACGTTCCTCAGCAGAATACATTCAGCGGTTTGAGCGCCCAATGTGTTTAATTTTGTTTCAAAGAGCATCAGGGTTAGAAATGCAAGAGAAGAACTGCTTTTCCACTCCCACAGTGGACACATCGAGAGTATGTAGAGTATTGTCCTAGACAGTTCCTGCGGAAGCACGTGGCTGCTTTATAGCTGGAGCTCCAGGTCATGGCAGACTTTTTTCTCCACACCGCGGAGGCTCTTTTAAGCCAGTCACTGCAATTGGTCACTGTCGGGGTCTGAAAGTATGTCTGATAGTATTAGGCCTACCAGCTTGGTTTGCAAATGTAAATCAGAAGAAGGCCTGATCCGGGAGTGGCAAGTGAAGCCGCCTTACGTTTCTTCTGGACACATTCCTGCATGTGCCCCACCGTATCATTCTCTTGAGCAGGTTCCCTATAGGTCACTTCTGTGTATTTCTACTCTGCTGTTGCCTTTGACTTGTGGGGCTGTCTTTGACATGAACAGGAATGCTATCCTTGTTCTTCTGTAAGGTGAATTTAAAAACTGAGAAGTGGATTTCACTCTTGTCTTCTGACCTAACCACAGCTCAGCAAATGGCTTTACTATAAAATTTATAGATTGTTTATTTTTGTTTGTGGTCTTTTCCTCCAGTATTAGTGAACGTCACATATTAGTCTGAAAACTAAGAAGAAATTCTGTTTCTCAGTTCTGTTTCTGCAATAACCACTCCTTTCCTCTTCCTAACCAGGTATAAGAAGTTCCTAACCTCTTAGCTGATTAAAATCTGGGGCATACTCTCAAAATGACACAAACACACACACACACACACACACACTCTCTCTCTCTCTCTCTCTCTCTCAAAATTACACACACGTGCATACGCGCACACACGCGCTCACGCGCGCGCGCGCGCACACACACACACAGTCTCTCTCTCCCTCTCTCCCTCCCTCCATGCATGCATAGCAGCATCCTTCTCCAGAGGGTGTTACTCTCTGACCTATAAAAGATCATTATTGACTTTTCTGCTCCTGCAGAGCTGCTGCATTGTCTTCTGGAGGTAATAACTCCCTTGAGTGGCTCCTTGATTTTTTGGCATAAGGAGAAAAATTAGGGGGGAGTATGTATAACATAGGTCTGATAATATGTTTAGCCAGTCATTAAAAAACCCGCTGCTGCTCTCTTATCTCCGTCATTTCATTAAAGATATTTTATCAGCAAAAAAGTAGGAAGGATGAAATCTCCAGAATAGAGAGAGTCCTTTAAATTGAAGAACTTAGCTTAATGAAAAACTGTACATGTCCTGGTTTTTGTTTTGTTTTATGGTAACACTGAGAACGAGGGAAAATGTTAGAGCATTTGGGACCCATTGCTTGAAGGCATCTTTGATTTCAACTCTCAAGAATTTGCTAATACTTCCAGTTCATTTTTTAATCACTACATTAAAAAATATGTTGGTTCTTAGTCTGGAAAATACCCGATTAGATAAATATTTGTAAAATGTATTATCTTAATAGAAAGTACCTTTATATGGTCACACTAAAAATATTGTATCTATTTTAGATTTCCATTTGACTGGAAGCATTTTTAAAATATTTTTTCTTGCATTTTTTAAAAACTGAAAGATTTTACATATATACAACCGTACAAAGAGTACAGTTTTAAAAAATCCACGTAATAATTGTGATATTTTTCAGTCTTGCTTATTTCCCTCAGTGTTTCTATAGAAATAAGCCCCCATCTGTTTAATATTACTTTGTAAAACTTATTCTAAAAGTATCCTATCCAAACATTTTGAAAATAAAAACAAAGGAAATCGAAATTGTTCTTAGTGTTACTGCCGAGAAATAAGCCATGTTTATGTTTTGATGTAATGATTACCAATCTTATTTATTTTCTTCCTCTCCTCTTGTCTATTATACTATCAGTAATAATAGCCATTCTCATTTTTTCGCCTCTTCATGTAGACAGTCAAATTCTCCACCTCCCATCAGACGCCAGCCCACCTGGAGCCGGTCCTCTCTGGTATGTAGAGAAGCTGCAGTGATCAAGTGATCTGACTGTTGAGCATTCTTTGTTGTTAACTTGAGGCGGGGGAAGATGAGGGCATCATGATGAGGTGAAATTTTGTGATAACACAGAGGCATCATTCTGTCAAGCAGGTGTGATGCACACCCATTTTATCCGCCTTGGAACCGTCCGTGCCCATCACTATTCTAAGCGTGGCTGAGGGTTTACCCTGTGAGTAGGTCTTATTCCAGGCCCATGGGACCATGTTCCCTCAGCATATAGCCCATGGTGTGTTTTCATCCCCTTGCTCATCTGTTCTAGTTGTTGTGTGAATACGCATCTTCAGTTGCAAGCTCCACAAATACGTTTGCGTTCACTGCCATGGAGAGAGTTTAATAAACTAGTGAGAAAATGCCTTCTAAATGAGCAAAAATTGGATGGATCTAGTGGATGGTCTCAGGCAGAGTATCTGATGGGGAAAGTTGATTGCATATTTCCTAAATTTAGGCTTTAAAAAAATCAGATTTCCAAAGCATTTCCATAATTTTAGGCATTAATTAGCCAACAGAGTTTGAATTGACCTAGCCTTGGCTGCTGCCCCCTTTTTTTGTTTGTTTTTAGTTTTTTTTAAGCTGCTGTCCTCATCATGTGAATAAGGAAACACAATTTCAATGCATGTGTTGTGTCTTAGGCTGTGTTTTATTTTGAGGATTACTCAAGGATAATAGAAAAAAGATGTTAAGAGTTGATTTCCTTTAATGTTTTCTGCTTGTTTTAACTCACAGTTCTTTAATTTTAGGTTATGATTTTTTTTTTTCACAAAATCAAAACTTATAGCCTTTTAACTTCTCTAGATCAACAATTCTTTCAAGTTGATAGAATGCAATTGAATTTTTCTTCATAGTCAGTGTATACCCTGTAGCATGTCTTTAACTTCTCTTTTGAAGGGACGCACAGTATCTCACATGTGGTCCCTTGCTCTGGAGATTTAAGGGATACCTTGGGCTTTCCCCTAAGTACCAACAGATTTGTTCATGGCACTGATTTCTTTATTATTCTCCTTTATGAATGTTATCTTCCTTTTTCCTTCTTTAGAGTATAGATGTCTTTATTAGCAAAATAATTTTTCATTTACGCCCTTGAAACCCCATGGGAGGCAAAGTGTTTTAAAGCTCTCTTGTGATCGTATCTTGTCCTCATTATCCAGAGAGGATGCTGAGGCTTACCTGTTTTATTTGGATGAAAACAGCTTACAGGAAGTCTGATCCAATTCATGGCTTCCTCCTTTCCCCTGTCCTTTAGGTTTAAACCATTTCACCAAGAGTTTCTTACGATGAGTGAGTAAGACCAGATGACGTTGTCTCTTGGCTTCCTTGCTGATAACTGTTTTTCGTCTGCCCTCTCCTATCTATATTTTGGCGTCGACTTTGTTTCTGTAGTAGCCTGTCTGGAAAGAAATGGAATAATGTATTAGAATATATAAAGAGATGAAATAAATACTTTAATCCTGAAATGATGTTTCGGGGATTAGCTATTATTGTCCTTTGACAATGCTGTTTATGAACTGGTATAAGTCTGCTCATTTATGTCAGTTCATAAACCATAACTTACTTATTAGATTATTTTAAATAAGGCAAGAAAAGACAGCAAACCAACTTTGTCTTGCCATGTATTTCTATTCCTTTGTACAAATCCCTCCCCACTGTGTTTCTCTTTAGAGCCTTAAAATGGCTGTGCTACCATGGAAAAATTGAGTTGAATTTTTATGTATTGCCAAGAAAAGGAAAAATATTTTTAAATTGCAACTCAAAAATCAGCCAAAGGGAGACTTGGGAATGTAGCACCTTTTCTTTTGTCACCCAAACTGCTTTCTTAGATGTATTTAATTTCAGTTCTTCATTTCTTCTGTCTTGATTCCTTTTAATTCTTAGATCCCTTTTTTAATTACCCCTTTGATGATCAAGCATTGTTTGTGGCAGAGGAAATGATAGGTGAGTTATTCACCCAGGTTCAAGCTCTTGGCCAGTGTATTTCTTCCATTGAGAGATGCTGAGAAAGTGTGACCCCTGCTGGATTTGGGTTTTTTGGTTTGAGCTCAGATTCTTCTCTTTTAAAATAGTAACCTTTGAAATACATCTGTAAGGCTAACAGAAATATAAGAGATTGGCTGGGCACGGTGGCTCATACCTGTGAACCCAGCACTTTGGGAGACCAAGGCGAGTGGATCACCTGAGGTCAAGAGTTCAAGACCAGCCTGGCCAACACGGTGAAACCCCATCTCTACAAAAAATACAAAAACTAGCTAGCCATGGTGGCGCAGTGCCTCTAATCCCAGTTACTTGAGAGGGTGAGAAATGAGAATCACTTGGACCCAGGAGGCAGAGGTTGCAGTGATCTGAGATTGTGCCACTGCACTCCAGTCTGGACAACAAGAGTGAGACTCTATCTCAAAAAAAAAAAAAAAAAAAAAGAAATATAAGAGATTATCTTTTTTGGTGACTCATAAACTTAAGTGTTTTGAGGGTTTTTTTTCCACAGATCCAAATTCTTATTTCAAACAAATTCTTACCTGGAACCTTGATATGTAAATAACATGGATAATGCTTGAGGTAGGGGGAGAGGGGAACTTGATTTGACTGATAGGAAACTAAGACTGGCTGAGGTTGAATGACTTGCTCTATATTATATTAGTGCATAACCATCTCTCCTTTGTTGGCTAACCAAATATTTAATCCACTGAAGTATTTTTTATTCTTCTAAAAGCTTGTCCCTCTTCCACAGCATGAAGTTATTCAGGTTCAATCTAAAGAGCCATTTTTAAGACAGTGTGGAAAAGATTCTGCACTGAGGTAGGGGGCAGACAGGGCCCTTTCCATACTTAGTTCTGCAGTGGGGAAGGTCAGCAAGTGATCTTGAGAGCCACACACTCACTGTTGTGGGCCACATTTTAGATATTTAAGTAGATTCATTTTAGATGATATTTAAGTAGATTCACCCCGGGCTCGACTTAACACTAACCCTGTTCCTATTTAAGGTCGATGTGTTCTCAGGCATAACTATGCTGATGTGTAGGAGCTTATGAATGGAATTTTGAAAAGAATGAAACAGGTGTCCCCGTGTTCTCATTTCTGACATGGATTATAATAATTTACTTTTTTTTTTTTTTTTTTCTGGAGACAGTTTCTCTCTGTCTCCCAGGCTGGAGTGCAGTGGCGTGATATTGGCTCACTGCAACCTCTGCCTCCTGGGCTCAATGACTCTCACACCTCAACCTCCCAAGTAGCTGGGACAACAGGTGCATACCACCACGCCTGGCTAAGTTTTTTGTATTTTAGTAGAGATGGGGTTTCACCACATTGCCCAGGTTGTTTTTGAACTCCCGAGCTCAGTCAATCCTCCCACCTTGAATAATTTACCTTTTCTAAGTTTCTTGTGAAAAAAGGCACAGAGAACTTGGCAAGTGTATTAGAACATAGATACTAAATTGTTACATTCCATCTTTGATGGTAACTTCTTTCTCTTTCTGATCTTGAACCAACTTCATTTCTCCCTTACCGTTTCTCTAGTCGCAAACTTAGTGATGAGATGAGAGTGTAGATGGGTAGAAGAAGGCTGGGTCAAAGGGGTGACAGGGACAGCGGCTGCCATGAGCCTCCCTGACGACATGGCGGGAGTGCTGTGTGCCCGGGCCGGGCGTGTGAGTTGTTGGCCGGGTCTGGCCAGGCCTCCCCACCTCCTCTGTGTTCTCTGTTTCAGCCCAGGCAGCAGCCGTACATCCTGCCTCCCGTTCACGTGCAGTGTGGTGAGCACTACTCGGAAACGCATACCTCGCAAGGTAACACTGGCTTGCCATTCTCCCTTCTTAAGACAAAAAGTTGAATACCAGTAAGCAGTAAAGAAGACTTTTAAAAAAAAGAAGACAGGGATGCCTTCTTTTTAACTTTGTCATTGTCTGAATGATAGTATCTAACGGCTTCAATTTGCAGAAGGCTTAAACTATCAGTTACCTCTGATCAAAAACTTTCCCCGGTATTGGCTGCTCTGGGAGTCGGGGTCAAGGCAGCAAGCAAGTTCTTTCTTCTCCCTTTCCTAAGTGAGCTTAGAGAAGAGAGTGTGATAGCTCAGCTCAAGTGAATGCACTTCACCTTCATTGCCAGTATCAGAAAGCTCCCGGCAGTCATTCTGCTTTTCATGGTGACAGAACACGGGCATGCAGAATAATTGGAAGAAATACACAAAGTCAGCCTTTTCTCTTAGCTGTTTTTCGCACCTCTTTCTCCAGCCCCTTTCTTGGTACACTTGCTTTTTTCTTTTCAGAGTAAAGTAAATCCGTTTTATTCCTCTCTTTCTCCCAAAATTTCTCCCATGCAAAATGTGTGAAAAAGCTTCTTCTACTAGTAATGACTTTATGGTAACAACTAACATTCATAGAGTAATTATGGTACTGCTCTAAGTACTTGGTATATATTGTTTCATGTGATCCTTCAAATAAACCTATAGGTACTATTATTATTTCTGTTTTCCAGATAGACATATTGGGGTACAGAGAGATTAATGATGGAACTTAGATATGAAAATCGGTAACTCATAATCATTATGCTAACTGCATTTGAAAAAAGGAGATGGTAGAAAACCTTGGATGTTGGAAATATAGTAAATGGTTAATTCATTCTATGTTATCAACTCATGGTCATTTTGAATCCTCTTCTGTATGAAAGTGTGAGCATGAAAACCAAGACAATCGAGACTATTTAATTTAATAAAATAGTACTTTTTACAAGGAGACTAGCAAAGTTACCACATTTCTATGGGACAAATCCCATGGGAGGTGGCTAAATTGCAGCACATTTGTCTCTGTGTCCCCTTGTTTGTCCTGCCTGTCTCATCTGATCAGATCTCTGTCCATGCACCTCCTCTTCAGTTGACTATTTTCAGTCACCTTTTCTGTTTTTCACCTTCTCTGAGTTTGCCTTTCTCTGTTTTGCTCATGCTTAAATCTGTAGTGTGAAAATGAATATATCTTGGCTACAGAAAGGCAAGAGATTGCCTTCCTGGGGGCGTGTGTGTGTAAGAGAACACCAGACACCTAGAATGGGCCTGATTTTAGAAATCTGCTTTTTATCTCTTTAGGTACCTCTTTAAACTATAATTTTTACTTGAATTGACCTAAGTGATGAAATAGATCTAGAGGGGATTTTAGGAATTGCCGAAAAGAACTCTTGATTCTAATTGTGCCCTCTGTTGCTGCTCAGGACCAACTAGCTGTGCTGACACCCTGGCTACATCATTTGTTTTGTGTCTTTAGAATGCCCAGCAGTCCCCTGGGTGAAGGGGCCTTTTCCATTGCCATCAGGAAGAGCAGTTCTAAGTCCTTAGTAACTGAAATCTATTGCCCTATTAAAGTTCTTGACTTCCTGGTCTAAATATTCAGTCCTGTTGCTGGGCCCTGCACAAGAGGACAGGTCTCCCCAGTTGGAGGGCCATTGTTGGTGCCTGATTTCAAAGCTCATGACAAAACTGAGAACTTCCCCAAGCGACACTTACTCCAAATGTGTGCATGCCTTCTTTGATTAGGTTTGCTTTTTCCTTTCAGTATGCTTTAAGGTGTTCTTTCTGTATGTTGGCATTTCATCCAAGATAGTATTTTTTATTCTGTAGAGTATGTTGGTGGAGACCATGGGATTTCATTTTTTATGACTTATTTAAATTAAAAGTTACCTCATGAGTATAGGATGTACATTGTTGCGGCAGAATGGCGTGGAGGTTCACGTGCCTTTGCTTGACTTCTTGTAGACAGCATTTTTCATGGGAATGAAGAAGCCCTGTATTGCAACTCTCACAACAGCCTGGACTTAAATTATTTAAATGGCACCGTCACCAATGGCAGCGTGTGTAGCGTTCACAGCGTCAACTCCCTCAACTGCTCGCAAAGTTTCATCCAGGCCTCCCCCGTGTCCTCCAACCTCAGTATCCCTGGGAGTGACATCATGCGGGCCGACTACATCCCGAGCCACCGGCACAGCGCCATCATCGTGCCCTCCTACAGGCCGACCCCCGATTATGAGACAGTCATGCGGCAGATGAAGAGGGGGATCCTGCATACAGACAGCCAGAGCCAGTCTCTGAGAAACCTCAACATCATCAACACCCATGCCTACAACCAGCCAGAGGATCTGGTGTACAGCCAACCCGAGATGCGGGAGAGACACCCCTACACTGTCCCTTATGGGCCACAGGGGGGCTACAGCAACAAACTTTTCAGTCCATCCGACCAGATGAACCCAAAGAATCACGTGGTGCCGAGCAAGCCGGGAGCAAGCGCCATCTTGCACACGGTGAGCACCCCGGAGCTGGCCAACATGCAGCTGCAGGGCACCCATAACTACAGCACCACCCACATGCTCAAGAACTACCTCTTCAGGCCGCCGCCCCCCTACCCACGGCCACGCCCTGCCACCAGCACTCCAGACCTGGCCAGCCACCGCCATAAGTACGTCAGCGGCAGCAGCCCCGACCTGGTGACCCGGAAGGTGCAGCTCTCGGTGAAGACCTTCCAAGAGGACAGCTCTCCGGTGGTGCATCAGTCTCTCCAGGAGGTGAGCGAGCCCCTCACGGCCACCAAGCACCACGGCCCGGTGAACAAGCGCCACAGCCTGGAGGTGATGAACAGCATGGTGCGGGGCATGGAGGCCATGACGCTCAAGTCGCTCCACCTCCCCATGGCGCGCCGCAACACGCTCCGGGAGCAGGGGCCCCCCGAGGAGGGGCCGGGCAGCCACGAGGTCCCCCAGCTCCCTCAGTATCACCACAAGAAGACCTTCTCTGATGCCACCATGCTGATCCACAGCAGCGAGAGCGAGGAGGAGGAGGAGGAGGCTCCGGAATCGGTGCCCCAGATCCCCGTGCTCCGGGAGAAGATAGAGTACAGCGCCCAGCTGCAGGCGGCCCTGGCCCGCATCCCCAACAAGCCCCCGCCTGAGTACCCCGGCCCGAGGAAGAGTGTGAGCAATGGGGCGCTGAGGCAGGACCAAGCCGGCCTTCCTCCCGCCATGGCCAGAGCCAGGGTGCTGAGGCACGGGCCGGCCAAGGCCATCAGCGTGTCCCGGGCCGACCCGTCGGCTGTCAACGGGGCCTCTCTCGGTCCATCCATCTCTGAACCCGACCTGACGAGCGTGAAGGAGCGGGTCAAAAAAGAGCCCGTGAAGGAGAGACCCGTGTCTGAAATGTTCTCCCTGGAGGACAGCATTATAGAGAGAGAGATGATGATCAGGGTGAGTGTCCTCCTCTCCCGGGCGTTTTCCAGAAAGCACAGGCTTCAGGCACTGAGCACGGGGCAAGGCTTATGCGGGGAATGCGGTCGGTTTTTAAGGAATCATTGAGCATTTAATCAGGTAGTACTTTATTACACAAAACATTGGGGTTTTGCCCTTTCAGATAAGTCTTCCTATCTTATTTGTGACTTCTAACAAGATGTACTTGGTACGTTGTTATGGCCAGTGCCTCAGCCAGCATTTTGCTGTTTATTCAAGGCTCAGACTTCAATTGTGTGAGCTGCTATTATGGAAGCTCACCTTTCTATGTCTTTTAGTGTTTCGTTTTCTTGAAGGAAAGCTGTCCTCCACCCCCAGTTAGTTATTAAAAAGCAACATCCCCATACTGCCTTCTGTATAGATCTGTAAGTCAAGACAGCTCACCAGTATTATCTGGACTGTAATATGTCTAGCTTTATATTCAGATTTTCTTTCAATAGATGTTTCATACAGATTCAAGAAAATTATAGTAATTGGATATATAATTTTCCATTGAACTTTGTCTGTTTAAAACTTGTACTTTATGTTTCTCAAATATTTTTACTTAGGCTTTTTGTCATTATCCACAGTGTTTCTTTTTTTAAAGCCTGAGCCACTTTGTGGTTTTAGCCTCAATATAATAATCATTCCCTTACTCTTAGAATTCCTTTTCCTCTGTCACTTCGCCTTTGTAGTTTGTAAAAATGAGGACCTTAGAAAATCAACGTTTCCTGTGAACTCAAGAGACTATATGAGCAGTGCCCAAATCAGTAGGATTAGGCAGGTAAAACCAGTTGGATGGCAGATATGTTATGCTCTCTTGGGCAAAGGTATAGTTGTGTGCATGTCTGCGAGGTCATGGTGATTCTCCATTAGCATAAAGATCATGTGACCAGGGTGACCTAGGAATATCCACGGGACTGTGTAAATTATGGTAGGGGAGGCAGTATACAATATTCATGAATCAAACACCCAGCTAACTGCTTTCCTGAAAAATGGTCTGCGTTGTAAAAGATCTAGGTTTTTTGTGTTTTTTTTTTCTTTAACTTATGAAGATTCAAGTCACTAATATGTTACTTGCTCTGTTTTAAAATGAAAGCAACTGGCTATGGTAAGGTAGAGAAAATGGGTGAATTGTATCAGAATATTTAAGACTTAAGTTCTGAGTTACCTCACCTTATAAAAATATGTCAATATACTAAGTACTCAACAAAGATCCAGGATATGGGATATTTAAAAATACATTTCTCTTGGATCAGCATCAAAAATATCAGTTTCTGTACAACCCATGTCAAGTTTTTAAGTATACACACATTGAAATTATTTCTGATAAAAATCACAAACTCCACAGAAATCACTAAAGATATATGCAGACAACTTTCAAATACATTTTGACGTCAAAGTCAGGCAGTTCACTTGGAAGAAGTTATAACCAGTACCCCTGAATTTTTGTAGTAAGATGTTTGACGTCAACTTTGATTATGGGAATTCTTTACATCTCACACAAAGGAGGCACTGGTGCTTAGAAACTTAAGAAAATTACTAGAACTATTAAGACTGAGGTGAAGAATTTGTACAGCTTTCCACAATTTCAAAGAGGTTGTGATAGATACTTGTCCTCCTGGCAATATCAAATGCACTTTCTTCCAAGTTGATTTTCAGCCCTGGTTTGATATAACGCTTCATCAGGAGGAGTTCTAGGGTATCCTTGCTGTCTCTGTTCCCAGTAGCAAGATACAAGGGGGTCAAGAGGACTTTTGTTCGGGCATTGACATCTGCATCATACTGCAGTCAGAAAGAAGCCACTCTGGTATTATTCCACTTAAAAGCACTGTGCAGGGGCGTCCAGCCATCCACAGTCACTGCATGAACATCTGCCCCCTGTGCAGTGAGCTCTCGGCCAATATCTAAGTGTCCACTGTAGGCTGTGCGATGAAGAATGGTACACTCCTATTCATCCCTGGTGTTCACCTGAGTGGCCTTTTCAGAAAGTAGTCTCCGCACTGTAATAAGCTGATTTTTTTTCAGCAGCCCAAAGAAGCAATTCGCTGGGTCTTTTTGCATTTTTTGTCTTGCAGTTCATACCACTCTTCCTTTTTTTCATCTTGCTCCTCGTCTGCATGAGAATTGCGTGCCCAAAGGCTTTGAGTACTGGTAGGAATAAGGTGTCCATGTGTTTCCAACAATTCAAGTTGGTTAAAGTGTTCAGAAAAGTCCAAGGAATTCTCTTGGTCTGGTATTCCATCATTATTTCCTTTTTCTTTTTCCATTTTTACTACTATTCTAAATAAAAAGCATTTTGAGCCGGGCGCGGTGGCTCACGCCTGTAATCCCAGCACTTTGGGAGGCCGAGGCGGGTGGATCACGAGGTCAAGAGATCGAGACCATCCTGGTCAACATGGTGAAACCCCGTCTCTACTAAAAATACAAAAAATTAGCTGGGCATGGTGGCGCGTGCCTGTAATCCCAGCTACTCAGGAGGCTGAGGCAGAAGAATTGCCTGAACCCGGGAGCGGAGGTTGCGGTGAGCCGAGATCGCGCCATTGCACTCCACCCTGGGTAGCATGAGTGAAACTCCGTCTCAAAAAAAAAAAAAAAAAAAAAAAAGCATTTTGAATGCCAGTGTATAAACAGTCTTTCTAGAAATGAATTATGACTGCTTTATTCATCAAGATCTAACAGAAGGGAAAATTGCCACCAACAAACTTAACTCTATCAAAAATTCACACGTGTATGTAAATAAACACATACATATGTATATATACATCCATATTACCATTTGAAGATCCATTCTAGTGTTAGACGTGAATAGCTCTTCTTCAGAATATGTAGAGCCAGGTATAGTGGTGAACACCTCTAGTCCCAGCTACTTGGGAGGCTGAGGTAGGAAGATCACTTGAAGCCAGGATTATGAAACCAGCCTGGGCAATATAATGATATCTCATCTCTACAAAAAACAAAAGACCCAGCCAGGCATGATGGCAGGAGCCTCTAGTCCTAGCTAATCAGGAGGCTGAGGTGGGAGGATCACTTGAACCTAGGAATTCAAGGCTTCGGTGAGTTGTGATTGTGCCATGGATGGCAGAACTAGACCTCGTCGCTTAAAAAAAATTGTACAGTCTGGGGAGACAGTTATGTTGTCAGAACAGGACTATGCGGGTGCATGCAGAACAATGAAGTGCATTTGCTCTTACTAATGAGAAAATGTTTGGATTATTGCTACTTTAAAAAATCTCCATTGCTGCTTCCCATGAACATTTTCACTCTCTTAAACCAATTAATTAGAAATAATCAAAGCCAGATTGACTTCGCTTCGTTCACCACTGTTGCACTATAAGGTAGCCAAGCCAAATTTTAGGAACTCCAGAACAGCTGTAACTTAAAATTTGCTTTGATGGTCCATTAGACCACCTTCATTTCCAGGTCTTCCTAGCCCATCATTAGGATTCAACCTGAAAAGAACAATCAAGGCCCAAAGATTTCAGGAAGCCAAGTTGCTGGGGTCAGAAATGGAATCTGTAGCAACCTTGTTACTTTTGGAAAACCTTAAGAAAATTCTCAATTTGGCCAGCCCTGCTAGAGTGGTGCTAAGAGTTTTTTATACAGACACGACTTTTTGCAAACCTAGAAGGAAAATGTGCAAGGTGTACCTTTGTCTCTAGCAAAGAAAACCTTTGGCTTGGAATGGAAGAAATGTGTGGGTGGGTGCCGTTGGGAGAGATCTTTACCAGTGTGGAAGAAAGTAATTCATTGGTAGAAATGGATTTTCAATACTTCTTCCAGACCACTTAAAAGCAATATTAGCATCAAGAACCTAGCAGCCTAAGCATTTAATTTAGCTATTTCCCCTGCCAGCTCGATACTTACTGATGTCCACATGGTCTCATAACCTCATTTTGGCTGTACCCATCCCCTTCTCTTGTTGTTCATATTAAACAAATAGTCTGTGGCCAGAATCTTGGCACTGGTCTCCTCCTTGGAGCTCCTTGCATTGTCATAAAAGAACAAGGGGTTTTTTCACTATCTTTTTTCTCCAGATGCTTTTCCATTCCATTCATGTGGGTAATAATGACTTGCAAATTTTATCAATTAACCTTTACTTCAAGAAATAATTACCCCATTTCTACTTCATTTTCCCTGTTGAAATATTTTTTTTCCAAATCTGCTACACTCAGGAGCTCAAGGACACCAGCAGACCTTAGAGGAGGATTAGGAGCTTCTTCAGTAAGCCAGAAGGCCAGGCAAGGGTGACAATGCCAGTGGCTCTGAGCCCAAGATGAGTCTCCATCTGTTTTGTTTGTAATGCGGAAACTCACTCATAACCTAAGCAGCATCCCCACCGGTCAGATACTTCTCTGCTCTCCTCACAATAGGCAGCTTTTGCCAGCTTGTTGGGAATCCCTGAGAGGCGAGGGCCATTCTAAGGGCCCTCTTGATAGAACACAATAAGAAACTTTTAGCAAAAGAAAACTAGGGGGCTGGTGGGGGTGTGCAGGTGCAGGTGTGGTGAGAATTTGCCCTCTGGGCAGCCCTCCTGGAGCTGCTTGTCTATTTGATGGATGGTTCCCCGCTTTTGTGGCTCCTACTGCTTCCTTGAAGGCACTTCCCTGCTTTGGAATCCCTTAGCCAGAAGTTGATACACTAAGAAAAGGCCAGATCAAATCTTTTGAATTATTATTATTTTGTATGTCTGGTAACAAGCTGATAGGGTGAGTGAGAAGGAGCAAAGAGACATAGTTTATCACTGAGTCATAATACCTTTTCAAGAAGGACTAATTCATTAATTTTTGTCTTAGACCCGGTTAGGGTCGCCTTACAGTGCAAAGTGGAAAGAAAGCAGGACTGCTGAGAGGAGCTCAGGACCCATTTTCCAGAACTATAGCTTTCTCAAAACTTTGGAGAGCAGTGAAATAGATTCCCAAGTGAAAGGGGTGACAGAAGTGAAAAAAAGAAAAACTCTTTCTCCTCAAAACTAGAAGAAAACAAAGCCCTAAAATTTTTTTTTTATTTTTTTTTTTGAGACGGAGTTTCGCTCGTTACCCAGGCTGGAGTGCAATGGCGCGATCTCGGCTCACCGCAACCTCCGCCTCCTGGGTTCAGGCAATTCTCCTGCCTCAGCCTCCTGAGCAGCTGGGACTACAGGCACGCGCCACCATGCCCAGCTAATTTTTTGTATTTTTAGTAGAGACGGGGTTTCACCATGTTGACCAGGATGGTCTCGATCTCTTGACCTCGTGATCCACCCGCCTCGGCCTCCCAAAGTGCTGGGATTACAGGTTTGAGCCACCGCGCCCGGCCCAGCCCTAAAAATTTTAATCCAGAATCTTCCCCCAGGGGGTTCCCAAGCATTGAGAGACCAGGGCCGTTTGAAAGAATATTGCATCTTTTGGTGGTAAGTCCCTGAGTACTGTAAACCCAGAAAATCTGAGACAGTCTCAGTTAACGTAGAAAGTTTACTTTGCCAAGGTTGAGGGTATACACTTGTGGCACAGCCTGAGGAGGTCCTGATGGTTGGGGCACAGCGTGGTTTTATACATTTTAGGGAGACATGAGACATGAGTCAATGTAAGAAGTACGTTGGTTTGGTCTGGAATGGCGGGACACCTTAGACTTGAAGTAGGGAGGGGGCTTCCCGGTCACAAGTAGGTGAGAGACAAATAGTTGCATTCTTTTGTTTCAGATTTGCCTTTCCAAAGGAGGAAATCAGATATGCATATATCTCAGTGAGCAGAGGGGTGACTTTGAATAGAATGGGAGGCAGGTTTGCCTAACAGTTCCCAGCTTGAGTTTTCCTTTTAGCTTAGCGAATTGGGGCCCAAGGTATTTTCCTTTCACAGCACTTCTCTCACTTTCTCCCAGTAACCTCCTCTGAGATGCTTCTTTGGTTTGTCTGATGGGTTGGCCATCACCAGTACAAGCCTCCTGTTGTCAGTGTCACTAACACAGGCTTCATTCAGATTGTAGGTGACACTGTAGAGAGACACATGGAAGAGTGTAATGCAGTTCCCCGCCACCCACAATTAGAACAATTCATAACCCTGTGTGATGACTCCATCAAGACGTCTTCTTGGGGAGTGAATTTATAGTTCAGAGAATAAGGAAAAAAGTCTCCCAAGGCTTGAAAAGAAACCAGGGATTCAATGGCTCTTCATCTGTGGCAATCAAATGAATCTGCAAATTCGTTGTCCTTCAGTGTGAATCAAAATCTTAAACTCTGCAAAACTCATCTACTTCTATGAGAAGTGCCTGTGTTCTTCCCTTAACTTCTAAGACACAGTTACTTTTAGGAAAGGCCCTTCATGGCTTGCTTCAAGTGAGTGTAAAGAGAGCTTTTTCATACTCAGTCAGTTTCAAGGACCTGAAGAAGCACAGCAGGAAGCTAAAAACCAGGCCTGACCGATCCAGTTTCAGTGTAGAGGCGAGGGCAGAGAGGATGGAAATCAAAAAGCCACAAACCGGGGCCAGGTGTGAACATCAAAACTTTTCCCTAAGTGGTCTGTCAGTTCCTGAGCCCATGTTCCCCCATAGCTCAGCAGCATGCGGTGATGTCCCACCATCTGCTCTGGGAGTCACAGCCTCTGTTATTGTGGGCCCTCTGCGTGAAGCTGAAGGGTAATGCCTGGTGGATCGTCTTAAATGACCCCAGCCAGGCTTTGGTGTTAGTGAGCTCGCTAAACTACATCAGCTTTCAGTTCTGGGAATGACACCACTCAGAGGTACTCCAAGGACCAGAGATTAAATATAGAATTAACATCCTCAGCGTTAGCCCCTTAAGACAGAAACTTAGGAAGATTTTTCTCTATAAAATATATGTGTATGGATCTCTCGATCAACAGCAACAAACCGTTTTACAAGTTTTGCTCCATTCCATCTATGCAAAATGGCCATCGCTGTGATTGGATTCGATGATTCGGATAAACCTGTTTCTGTATTCCTTCTCCTGTTGTCTTCAGCCCTTATCTTTCTAAAGTGCCTGCACGTAACCTATTTTTTTTTTTTTTAGCCCTATGGCAGGGTGTATTTTTAGGGAGTCTTTTTTTCTTATTTATTGATCTATCTAGCTAAGGAGTTAATTAAGAATAAAAGCTCAGGAGTCCTGTAGGAACTGGCTTCCGGGGGCCTAGTGGGAATAGTGGGAAGGTTGTGTTTGAATTCGCCCTACTAATGGTGATTGTCTGCATTCCTTGGCTGAGGAGTTACAGATTTGGGGAGATTAAAACACATTCCAACATTCTACTAGTATTATAAACAATGAGAACATGCCTTTTCTTGCCGCAAGAATCTGGAGAAGCAGAAGATGGCAGGCCTGGAGGCACAGAAGAGGCCGCTGATGTTGGCAGCGTTGAATGGGCTCTCGGTGGCTCGAGTCTCAGGGCGAGAAGAGAATCGAGTTGATGCCACCCGGGTTCCCATGGATGAGAGGGTAAGTGGCAGGCTTGTCAAACGTGATTCATTCTCTGCGGTCGTAGGATCCCAAAACACCCTCCTTGCCCAGACGTGCCAGCACTGAGGTTTGTGTGATGCTTTCGTTCTTCAGTCTGAGATTAGGAAGATCAGGTATAACTGCGTTGCATTAAATCAGTCCCTTCCAGCATCTCATGTTTCTCTGCTCCGGTCTTCCTGCTTTGTCAGGTTGGCGGATCAATGGTTGCCTAAAACCAGCAGCCCCTAACATGCCGTGTGACTTGGTCAAGTCACTCAATTTCTTTAAGCCTGCTTCCTTTTTTGTAAAATGCACAAGTTAACCACTTGCAGTAGCTCTCAATTTCTGTGATTTTTGTGAGCGATTGCCATTTCTTAGGAAGTGATTATTTTATCCAAGCATTTATTTTTATTCTTAATTTTTAAAAAACTTTTATTTTCTTTTTGGGGGCACATGTGAACGTTTAGGACACAGGTATGTCACAGGGGTTTGTTGTATGTATTATTTCATCAGCCAGGTATTAAGCCCAGTACCCCATAGTTATCTTTTCTGCTCCTCTCCCTCCTCCCACCCTCCATCCTCAAGTACCCCAGTATCTGTTGTTTCCTTCTTTGTGTTCATAAGTTCTTATCATTTAGGTCCCACTTATGAGTGAGAACATGCAGTATTTGGTCTGTTCCTGTGCTAGTTTGCTAAGGATAATAGCATCCAGCTCCATCCATGTTTCCCCTCAAAAGACATGACCCTCGTATCCAAGCATTTATAGAGTTCTTTAAAAGTGCTGTCCCCTCATATGACCATAAAATGAGGCTGATTTATAATTGTCTGGATAACACATTGTGAGAACACTGGTTTTGAAAAGCAGAAAACAGCTGCATGGTAGTGTTTTAGACGTGAAGAAAGGTGTATCCTTAGTTCCTGAACTTGCTGTCAGAAGGTTAAGAAACAGGTTGTATAAACATAATAGAGTACTAATAACATTAGGGCGTTAGATTTCTGCTAGTATGTATCCAGAATTAGGATGTTTTTAGACCCAGAAGGGACTTTAGAGGAATCATTTAACCCAATTAATAGCATGTTACTATTACTAGTAGTTTGGCGAGTGAGGAGGAAAAAAGAGATTTAATTTTCAGAGCTATAGAATTGTGGATCAGTATCATCTAAAAACAGCTACATATGTGGAGAAAAGGATGTTGGATAATTAAGCTTAACAGTCTCTTTATCATTAGGACTTTGAACAGAGCATTATTGGCAAAAATTTTGTTTTATAAATTTCAACTCTTGCTAGTTCTTGCAGATTTGTTCTACTTGTAGTATGAGTAAGAAGGAAAATGGTTGTTAGATGAGGGAAACTATCAATATGGCTAATAATGAGACAAACTAACCAAGTATTGATTATACAACTTGAAATCTCATATTAACACAATCACTGTAAATATTTAAAGAAATTTGGTTGTTACCGGGCGCAGTGGCTCACGCCTGTAATCCCAGCACTTTGGGAGGCCGAGGCAAGTGAATCCCCTGAAGTCGGGAGTTCGAGACCAGCCTGACCAACATGGAGAAACCCCATCTCTACTAAAAATACAAAAAATTATCCAGGCGTGGTGGTGCATGCCTGTAATCCCAGCTACTGGGGAGGCTGAGGCAGGAGAATCACTTGAACCTGGGAGGCGGAGGCTGCAGTGAGCTGAGGCCCTACCATTACACTCCAGCCCGGGCGACAAGAGTGAAACTTTGTCTCAAAAAAAAAAAAAAAAAAGAAAAGAAATTTGGTTGTTTCATTGAGTTTTTGGATCAGATAATTTAGAGAGCTGAAGACCAATTTCTGTTGCAGTTCAGAACCCTGAAGAAGAAACTAGAAGAGGGAATGGTGTTCACAGAATATGAGCAAATTCCAAAGAAAAAAGCGAATGGCATTTTCAGCACAGCGGCTCTGCCAGAAAATGCCGAGCGCAGCCGAATCCGCGAAGTTGTCCCCTATGAGGAGAATCGAGTAGAGCTGATACCAACCAAAGAAAATAACACAGGATACATTAACGCCTCCCACATCAAGGTAAGAAGGCAGCCTGTTAGAAGGTTTCTTAAAGATAGCTGGGTTAAAGGTAAAAATGCAGGGAGAAGAAAGCGTGTGGGCTGTAACTGTGCCTTTTGGCTTGTCCCCAGACCCTCAGGGAGTGTTTTTGAACTCCTGTGCTTTTCTTAGTCAAGTGGAAGGGCATGTCTATCACTGCAGAGAGAAGGAAGTCTAGCAGCCTTAGGAAAAACCTCAGGTCAGCGATTTCTGAAGCCTGCTCATTACAGAGGCTTTAACTTTTCCTTCTCTCTGTGGGCTATAACTCTCTGTACTCACAGGAAAAACTGAAGATTATCCTTTTCAGTTTGTAATTAGCAAGTGATGGAGACTTTGGAAGTAACAGATATTGCATTACTGACATTAACCTTTTATGTTCAATAACAACAGAAACTATTGTTCCTCCCTTATAATATACGGTTATGCATTTTATAGCACAAATCTTATTATTGCATGATATTTAAAAGAGTGGAGTGATTTTCACCTAAACTATAAAAATGTGGTTAATATTGAATCTTGAAAGATTTGCCACATTAGTCAATTAATTTGTGTTACTAAATTTTTGTTATTTCAAATACTTCAAACCTTTATATGTCAGTATTACATAATTTATCAGTTCTGCAGTTAAAAGTTTGAGTTATGGAGCCAGGCATGGTGGTTCACGCCTGTAATCCTAGCACTTTGGGAGGCTGAGGTGGGTGGATCACCTGAGGTGAGGAGTTCAAGACCAGCCTAGCCATCATGGTGAAACCCCATCTTTAAAAAAAAAAAAAAAAACAACAACAACAACAACAACTTTGAGTTATGGATATGTGTGTACGTATAGTTAAATATTTCCTAAATAGCTTACCTTCCTCAGTATCTCTATTCACAGAGGACACTTGTTTCAAATGTCACCATTTGCTCTGAACTCTTAAGTAGGAGAATTTATTCATCTATTAATGTTAAAACCATTGTTATAGGATATTGTTGATTAACACAAGGTTCAATTAATAGTTGTTAGGTTCCTTTGAACTTCTAAAGGCTAGTTAGGTATCTAGTTTGTATGTCAGTTATAACTAGTTTTGATATGGAATGTGAAAAGTGTAGCGTGGTTGGGCATATAGTATTTTTTATTAATATACACAGATAACCATATTTTTTAATAATTAGTACTGTCAAAAGAAGAGCAACTATCATAGATCATATTGCTAATTTTTAGTCTGGTTTTTTGAGAGTGAGAAATAAAAATTGGACTCTAGGAAACTCTTAAATAAACTGGTAATGGTGTGTTTCATGGGCTTAGTTTAGATTATGAAAGAGTGACCAAAGTAACATATTCAAAGAAAGATGCAGATCACACAGCTGCTTCTTGATGGAGTGTCTATGAAAATCTTGCATAGCAACAGTGTATTATCTTCTTCTTTTGGCCAGATCTCTTCCACCATTTTCCATCTGCTCTCTGAAAAAAGCCGTCACTTTGTATAAACTGTGCCCATTGGGTATCATTATCCGAGAAGCATTCCCTTCTTGGTTATTCCCTGCGGCCCACATTTCATCCTGTGAATCCAGGTTAGACATGGGTGCATTTAATAGACTCATGAACTTGCAAGAACTTGCCCCAGTGTTTTGGAATAGAGTTGTATATTTTGCCAATGTTTTCCCCCCTGGGTTCCAAGCAGCCATTAAAACAGAACAGAGATTTATTTGCTCCAGAGGTGGAATCACATCTGTGAAATCTACCTCAGTAGCACTGCTTGTTGTGTTTTTAATGCAGTTTTTAATACCCTCCTGTCAATACTTGGAATATGCTGAAAGGCCCCAGGCAGCAACATTCTCTGGAAGTATTTATGGTTCCTATATGTTGGGTGCCAGAGAGGCTAATGTTTAAAATCACAATTCCACAGATAAACCAAACTCCTAGCCAGCAAATATATGAATGTTATCTCCCACCAGTATTTGGAAAATGGATTTTTCTTGCCAGCTTTGACCTAAACATGTCTTGTGTAATGAGACAATAGCTTACATTGTTTTTGTTTGAATTAAGTTAGCATACAGTTTTATAAAATAAATGAGGGAAAAAAGTTTCAAACAGTGATCACTTCATTGCTTTTTGAACTCTCCAGAGGTCTGCATTGCATAGATGTAGAAGGAGGCTGACTTTGCAATATTAAGGCACAGAGCTGGAAGGGAGAACAGAAAGAATTCCTCCAGAGGCCACCATTTCACCTTGACAGCATGACCTTTAACACTTTGAGTACAACTTCCTATTTACGGTTCTCTGCAGCTACTGTTTATAGCTGTAGAATTATCTTCTCCTGATCAACCTGAGCTGCATGGGGTAATAATTTTATTATCTGAAGTCATCTCATGACTCTGTAGTTCAGTTGGATGCTGTGGTACTACCAAGGTGAAGTTATTGATGAAATATGTGCTGTTGACAAGGGCATTCGTAGCATCTCTGCTGTGCGTGGCACCACAGAGCACCAGCGACAGCAGAGGTTTATGATACACTTCATATCAGATCCGCAGGAGAAAGATAGTGCTCCAAAAGGGACGCTGTTCCGTAGTCGTTTTTTGGGTTTTTTGTTTGTTTGTTTGTGTGTAATTGGATGCCATGGAGTACTGTTTTTCAAACTGGGTCGTAACACGGTGGTAGAATGTGAAATCAGTTTAGTGGTCATGACCAGGTGTGTGTGTGTATGTGTGTCTGTGTGTGTTAATGAAATAGACTAGACTAGAGGAGAGAAAAGAACAGAAAGTGTCAAAGTACATTGCACATAGTAAGCATAACTATTATTTCTGTAACAAATCCTAAGTTATACATGTTCATATAGATGCGTATATACATGTATCTATGTGTATGTGTTTTTAATAGGCACTAGTTTGTATGTACTGTGATTTGCAAACCAAGATCAAGTTAAGGCCAGATGTGGTGGCTCACTCCAGCCCTCCCAGCACTTTGGGAGGCTGAGGAGGGTGGATCATCTGAGGTCAGGAGTTCAAGAACAGCCTGGCCAACATGGTGAAACCCTGTCTCTACTAAAAATACAAAATTTAGCTGGGCATGATGGCAGGTGTCTGTAATCCCAGCTCCTTGAGAGGCTGAGGAAGGAGAATCACTTGAACTCGGGAGGCAGAGGTTGCAGTGAGCCGAGATCATGCCACTGCACTCCTGCCTGGGCGACAGAGTGAGACCCCATCACACAAAAAAAGATCAGGTAGATATTTTAATAGACATAAGTGGCAAAAAGTCTTTTCATGTGAGGCTGTGTCACTAGTCTCTATAATCTCAGGGTTTCTATTAATTGAACGAATTCATTTGGCCAAAAAAATATCCAGGGTTTTAAGGTGTATACAGATGAACAGGTGGTCAGTACGCAATGCTGTCCCGGACTTGGGGTTTATTTACTGATGCTTCCCTTGGTTTTCAGGTGGTGGTTGGCGGGGCAGAATGGCACTACATAGCCACCCAGGGACCCCTGCCACACACGTGCCACGACTTCTGGCAGATGGTGTGGGAGCAGGGAGTGAATGTGATTGCCATGGTCACCGCAGAGGAGGTAAGGGAAACGGCCTACTCCACGTCCTTTTCCCCAGGGCAAAGGTTAGCCAGAAGATGGGCTTTGTACTGGCGATTCTGTTACCCTCTCCTTCCTGCAGTGCTGTTTCTCTGCAAATGCTTTTCTCTTTGGTATATATCTATTTTCTCTTCTTACTTCCAGATAGATATTGTTGTAGCTTTTCCTCCTCTCATTTTCATCTGGCTTTTAACTCTTTTCCTTGGATTGACACACACTAAACTGAAAATAAAACAACAGAACACCAAGAAATGACCAGACTTTAGTTCAACCCGCTAACTTTGTGCCAAACGAAACAGTGAGCTTTCCACTGGAATGGGAGAGTCTCAGGCTGCTCAGGGCAAATCCACGTAGATGTCCAACTCCAGGCCCCAGCTCCACATGCACCATGCTTATCAGCTGAAAAGAGACCAGAAACTTGTTCCTGGAGAGGCCTCTGTTCTCTGGGGAGAGAAAATTATATCTTTTTGTTCTTTTGCCAAGCCAAACATAGTTTTCTGCTGTAACTAGAGAACTCTATGTGATGTCATAAAAAACCAGCCTACACTGCCGGTCAGTCCAGTCGGTGTTCAGCTTGCTGTCTTTGCGGGGAGAACTGTTGTTTCTTCTCTTGTCACATTCTCCTTCTTTCATTTCTTTCATTAAATTCCAGTTTATGTTTTGAAATCATTCAAGGGACTAGTTTAATGTGTGTTTACCAGTATCCATGGTATTGCAGTGGCCTTTCCTAGCTATGTTAAAGGGGTCAGGAACAAAGAAAATTGGGGAGGAAAAAGTCATATTTTCCTTCATTGACTGTTCTGAGTGTTTGCTTTTCAGCACAGTCCATTAGAAGAAAATAATGAAAGGGACTTCAAGCTCTTTAAAGCCAGTTGTACTTCCTTGGGCTGACCTGTTTGACCTTCCCACAAAGAGAATGAATCCTCAAAGTTTCTAGAATAGATTTATCATCTCATCAGATCACATCATTGCAAGGCATTCATTCACTTAAATACAGCGTACCATCTGTGCTAACTTCAGGAGTACATGGTAAATGAGACAGGCACCATCCCTGTCCCCATAGAGCTTGTGTCCTAGTGGGAGGGACATTCAAAAGTGAATAAATAAATTCAAGTAGCAGTAAGTGCGGTGGCAAAAATGGAAAACTGCAGTCCAAAGAGGGTCTGGGTAGGTAGGTACAGAGGTGGGTCCTCCTGTCTCTTCCCTCTTCCTCTTTGTGTGGGTTTCAGCCGCAAAACTGCCGTTCACACTAGGGCACTCCTACTAAAGGGTAGCTTCGGGATGTGCAACCCTGAGCTCCAGGCTCTGTATCATGTCTCACACTTGCTGGAAGGCTGGAAGTGAAAACCTTATTAATAGGAGCCTAAATTCAAGGGAGAAAAAAATTTTTTAAATGGAACAAAAGGTTAAGAGAGCGTGACTAGGGGATACTTTAGATCCGAGGAAGTGGTATTGCAGGTGAGACAGGAGTGACAAGGGGCCAGCCTTGCCAAGACAAATAGCATCTAGTGATCTGTGGGAGAGCTGGGAACTCATAGTTTTTAAAAATCCATAACTGATTTATACACTCAGCAGAAATATAAATTTGAGGTAAATGTGCTTTCACATGATTAGCAAATAAAAGAGCAAGATATGCTTCCAACTTAAGGAGACTCAGTTAAACCAAATGAAGCCAGGCAAGGTAATTTGTATTCCCCAAAGACATGTTGCTTTACAAGTAGGCTAGACATTAGGGTTCCTCTAAACAGCCATCAGGGTTCCCAGAGCCTGTCACCACTGCAGCACCGTGTTCAGTGTTCCCTCTCTCTCACCACCTACTCTTGCCCTGAATCTCCTCAGCTACCACCTCCTCCACACTCCGCCTCTTCTTCAGGGATTTTAAACTGTGCAAAACTTAAACATAGACCTTGTGTAGATGGTTGAGAGTACATAGTCTCAGAAAAGATAAAATCAAGGGAGAAAGAACAGTGATGTGACCAGCTCTTCTCAGTTCTAGTTGTCGATTGAACTGAAACAAATTGGTCAGGCTGAAAAAAATGTGAGATCGACACTAGCTAAAGACAGCATCCGTAGTCATTGTGCTGTCACAGAAAGAGCTCTGGGCTGAACATCGGTGAGGAGTAGCCTGACCTAGAGCGATTGCTGGAACCTCTTGCTCCCTTGTTTAAAACCTTTGAGTGACTTCCCATTGCCCATGGAGTGAAATCCCAACTTTCCACCATGGACTGTGAGGCCTTTCCAGTGTCCTCTCCTACTGACTGCCCCTCACATGTCACACTCCAGCCACCTGGAAGACCTTTGTTTCTTGAATGCACCAAGCTTGTTCTTGCTTCTAGATTTTGCACTTGCACCTCTGTCTAACATTAAACTGCACCTCAGTTGTGAATCTTTTATCTTTTCCACTGATGCAGCTGTCATTGTAAAGACCATAGTTTTTGGTCTTAATTAGCACATATAGGATCTACCCTGTGGTAGACACTGCAGAGTGCTACTGAGCCTAACGATTTAGAAGCTATGTGCATTTTCTTCTGTCTTCACATCTTAGGATTAAGAGGGTGGGAGCTTCCTTTGAGCTATTTCCAATTTTGCTTTTATGTGTGATTTAGGAGGGCGGACGAACCAAAAGCCACCGATACTGGCCCAAACTGGGTTCCAAGCACAGCTCAGCCACCTATGGCAAATTCAAGGTCACCACAAAGTTTCGAACTGATTCTGTTTGCTATGCAACCACGGGCTTGAAGGTCAAGCACCTTTTATCTGGGCAAGAAAGGACAGTGTGGCATTTACAGTATACTGACTGGCCAGATCACGGCTGCCCAGAGGACGTCCAAGGGTTTTTATGTAAGTTTTTTTCTTTCGAGTCTGTGTGTTCCCTGACTGACTGTTACAAACTGTGTCAATAATCCATCCGTTAGAGATGGAATAGAAAAAAAAGATGCTTTCTCTTAAGTGGCAAAAGTGTCATAACATTGAAATATATGTTCCTTTGTTACTATGTAGAACAGAGAAGAATAATACATGTCACTTATTCTGTTTACCTTTCATGCACATAAGCTAAGACTGTGGTCAACAAATTGGCTGTACCTTGATTCAGACCTTCAGCTACTCATTTAATCAGTAATTATTCTGACACACGCTACAACAAGGACCTTGAGGAATGATACTGTGTGGAAATAATCCAGTCACAAAAGGACAGAAGTTGCGATTCCGTTTACATGAGGTACCTAGAATAGGCAAAGTCAGAGAGAGAAACTAGGTGAGAGGTTCCAGCGGCTGAGGCAAAGGGGGATTACAATTTTTTTTTTTTTTTTTGAGGTGGAGTCTCACTCTGTCACCCAGGCTGGAGTGCAGTGGTGCGATCTCGGCTCACTGCAACCTCTGCCTCCCAGGTTCACGCATTTCTCCTGCCTCAGCCTCCCAAGTAGGTGGGACTACAGGCACAGCCACCACACCTGGCTAATTTTTGTATTTTTAGTAGACACGGGGTTTCACCCTGTTGGCCAGGATGATCTCGAACTCCTGCCTCAAGTGATCTGCCCTCCTCAGCCTCCCAAAGTGCAGGGATTATAGGCACGAGCCACCGTACCCAGCCGGGAATTACTATTTGATGGTGCGAGATTTGTGTTTGGGACAGTGAAAAAGTACTGGACGTGGGTGGTGGTGATGGTTGCACAACTGTGAATATGCTTGATGCCACTGATCTGTACGTTTAAAAATGGTTAAACTGGTAAATTTTATGTTGTGTTCACTTTAGCACATTAAAAAAAAGAGAAGAGAAATGAAATTTAAAAATAGGCCAGGCGTGATGGCTTATGTTGTAATCCCAGCACTTTGGGAGGCTAAGTGGGGCAGATCACCTGAGGTGAGGCGTTTGAGACCAGCCTGGCCAACATGGTGAAAACCCATCTCTCCTGAAAATACAAAATTAGCCAAGCATGGTGGTGCACTCCTGTAATCCCAGCTACTGGGGAGGCTGAGGCAGGAGAATTGCATGAACCTGGGAGGCGGAGGTTGCACTGAGCCGAGATTGCAACATTGCACTCCAATCTGGGCAACAAGAGTGAAACTCTTATCTAAAAAAAAAAAATTTAAAAATAAGTGAATAAATAAAATTTCTCATGAAGGTTTGCATTCTCACAAGCCCTATATTTCCCTACAATGGTAAACCTCAGTACTTTCTCAAGCTTTTTCATATTTTTATGAAAACACTAAGAAGTATCGAAACCCTCTTATAGTTTTCGAAATGAAATTTGCTTAAAGACTAATTTATTAAATTCTATATATGTGTATTTTTAGAACGTGCTTATATTAGAAACTAATTCACCAGATTATGTGCCGTATTTTATTTGAAAGGCCAAAAATTGGGCAGGTACTCACTACATGCCAGGCACTGGATGGGGCAGAGATGACACTGAGTTCACAGTCTTTGCTTTCAAGGTATTCCCAGTCTAAAGGGAAAGACAGGCCAGTCGTCATGGTCCAAAGATGAGATCTGATACCCTCCTCTGCTTTTCAGTGGTGGCTGCAGCTCTCTCTCCTTTTCCACATGCTCACCTGACTGTCCTGTGTTTGTCGGGAAACCCCATTCCTTACCTAGCTAGAAAGGAGCCCTGGATGCTCCCTGTAGCCTTGTGCCTGATCTATTGTTGACTCTCCAGCTAGAGGAGGACCTGTGACCACCACGGAGGGACCATCATCCAGATGCTGGATAATGTCAAAACCTTGAGTTTATTTTGGTATTCATTTAGAATGGGAGAAGAAAGAAAGGAGAGAGAGAACAGGTTTTGAAGAGCTAAAAATACTGATTTACAGGTTTTAACAAATATTCTGATGTGTACTTATCCAGCGATAAAAGCATTTCATTTACGTGAAAGTGACAATGGTACTTGAGGGTTTGGCACTGAAAGCAGAGAAGGATGACTGGAGTCAGAGGATCTTGAGTAAGATCCAGAGAGGATTCATGATTTGCCTGAGGTCAAATGGGTCATTATCTGTAGCTTAAAATACTAATAAGAACTTCCCTTCCTCCTAACAGTGCTCGTTATATTTCTTTCAGCTGATCACTTGCTAACTGACTTACTAAAATTTTCTCCAAGAAGCAGAAAATGGAAATAATATAAATAGATCAGTTTGTTGATTAGCTGACAACTCTGATGAAAGAGTGAGTGTAAAAGACACTTTAAAATATAGTCTTTTGCTGGGTGCAGTGGGAGACCAAGGCAGGTGGATCACGAGGAGATTGAGACCATCCTGGCTAACACTGTGAAATCCTGTCTCTACCAAAACAAAAAATTAGCCAGTTGTTCTGGCAGGTGTCTGTAATCCCAGCTACTCAGGAGGCTGAAGCAGGAGAGCCACTTGAACCCAGGAGGTGGAGGTTGCAGTGAGCCGAGATTGCATCACTGCACTCCAGCCTGGGCTTCAGAGCAAGACTCTGCCTCTAAATAAATATATAAATAGATAGATACATACATACATACATAGAAAGAAAGAATAGTCTTTTAAATCAGAACCAATTAAGGAAACCCTGTCTATATTACCAAAGAATACATAGTATTTTTAAATAATGTGAATGTAAGTATTATATTTTTAGAAAACTCAATACACTTATACCATGCCAGGCATTAGAAATGTTGAATTGGGTCTCCTAGGTTTTAAAAGGGTTTTGCCTGTGTTGAAATTAGATTACCTGGATGCCGGGTACCTAAGCCAAATTGTTTACTGCCCTCTAGAAGTCTTTACTGAGTTACAGCATAAGGAACTTTATTAATATGATTGATGGAGGAAACATCCATTGAATCGACCTTCCCTCCACTACAGGAAAAGCTCTATTTGAAAGTGTCATTACCCAACATTCCTTTTGTTTTTCTTCTTAAATTTAGCTCAAGTAAAGCTTTGTCTCTGGTATGTAAATACTGTCTTTGGTCAGACAGAATACTCAGTTGCCTCATGTCTTTTCCCACTTGCAGAAACATTGTAAAGAAGATTCCATGCACAATATTAGCTTGTATTTGGTGCCTAAATAACTACTCCCTCTATGCATCTCATGGCATCTTCTTTCTTTCTTGTTTTGTCCTGTCTTATTTTACTACCAGTAGTACTGCTGTGACTAGCACTAACACAGTTATTACCAATCATCATCGTAGTAGTGGTAATAATAATAGTTTGCTTATTTGGTAAACCACTTCAGATTATTTAATAATTAGGTAAGTATATAAAGGAAAGTATGGGTTCTTTATATATGTCTGTAAACAGATGCTTTTAAATTATTTGAATGGTTCAAACCTACTTTTTTCTCTTCAACAGTGTAGACATTTCCCCTAGAGTCTTGTTTATGCTTTTGCCTCAGGATGAGGCTCACTGAGTGTCAAGAACCTTTAAACCTGTTTCTTTCCTCAGCTACTGACCTAAATTATTAATTAATTTGGGGGGGTTTTGGGAATGTCTGAGGATTACATTTCTATACTTTTCTCTTTTGTCATGGTTGTGAAAAAAGTCATTAAGGCTTGGAATCCTGTAATTTTTCTTTTGTGCCTAATTGGAGTCATGAAAACACCCCTCCCTACACAGCCCTGCTGAGCCAGACAGATGCTGGAAGGCATGGGGGGTATCATGACCTCTCCACCTCATACACATGTTGCCTCCAGAAAGGGGGTTCATCTTGGGCTGTTCTCATAGCCCCATGGAATCCATGCTGGAAAGCAGACTCCCCAAAGTCTACTTTAAAATCCAAAAATGAAGTCAAGCCTCAGTTGACATTCACTCATCAGTGAGGGGAAGGAAGAAGGGGCAGATGGATGCTCTCTCTCCACCAGAAATTGGCTCTGACAGGCGGGCGTTTCAAGGGGACTTAGCAGTTGTTCTGATCCCAGTCTGTTAATAGCAGGAATTGCTGTAAGTAATGTCTAGAATCATCTGCTTGGGGGACTTAGGGATTTGCAGAGGGGAAAACAGAATTTAATTTTTAAAAAAGAACTATTTAATTTAAAGAACAAATTCTCCCGTGAACTAATTGACTCCCAGCTGGTCCTTTCTGGATCCAGGACTGTACAGTGGGTACCAGCCAAATAATTAGTGTCTTGTAAGAACTGTAAATTATTGTCACTTAAAAAAAAAAGAAAAACACATTCACCATCAGTTCTCTTCCGCTCCCCCTCCCCAACTTATATACAAAGCCATGGAGGACTTTGGTGACAGGATTTGCGTTTCGTCCTGCAGCCTACTTGGAGGAGATCCAGTCGGTCCGTCGCCATACCAACAGCATGCTGGAAGGCAACAAGAACCGGCACCCGCCCATCGTGGTCCACTGTAGTGCTGGGGTGGGAAGGACCGGCGTGGTCATTCTTTCTGAGCTGATGATCTACTGCTTGGAGCATAACGAAGTGAGTCATTCTGGGCTTCTCTCTGAATACTCCACCTTGGGGACAAGTCTACACCCTGGCCAGACCTTTGCTGGGCCCTTGCATTTTCAGTGGTGAATTTCCTCTCTCCTGACATTAATAGGCCACCTTATCTTTTTGGCCTCCCACTACTCCATGTAGATACCCAGATAAAAGAGGAGAAATGAGAGTGTGCAATAGAAAACACTTAGAAAATGTGATCTTAGTCAGCGTCTACTTTCAGAAGTCTACAGCATTTTGGTTTTATTGTGTAATTTTCCATGGTGAGCTATTTGACCCCATATCGTTTAGATGCGTCTTGCATTTCTAGGATGTGTTCTGGCCTAAATCCTAGGTGAAAATGTGTCTACTTGGAAAATGTTTTTCATTCTTCAGAGTGAGGTTTGGGGGGTCATTTGCTTGTCTAGTCTGGCAGTTGCATGGTGTCTTGGAGCAGAGTAGATACTTTGAGCACACAAACATCCCCGTCTTTGCATCTGCTGGCCTCCCTGCCCCTTCTCCTTGCAGAAGTGGGCTGCCGCAGAGCCTGTGCACACAAGGTGTATTGCATTCCTTTGCTGCTGGAGGACTAGGGAGTTACACCGAGATGCTTTTGATTTTGTGTAGGTGAGATGAACAGCAGTCAAAGCTAAGGAATAGTTCTTCTTCCTTCTGATTACATGGGACACTAGAATTTTTAAGGGGCTTTTATCTGCTATATCAGCCAAGTAAAGGAGCCATGTACATGTTACTCATCCTGTTTGACAGAAGAGGAAACTGAGGCCCAGAAATAATTACGTGATTTGTCTAGTGCTATGCGGCTCTTATGCAGTGGAACCGAGGCAAGAGGCAAGGTCTTCTCTGTCTGTGTCCAGAGTTATTTCCTGTCTCCACACGCTGAATAAGATTTGGTTCTTCTCAGTTTTCAAAGTATATGGCTTGAAAAATTAAAGGAACCTTGTGGTTTGGTAGTCCTTAAATTACAGAATGATTTGTTGCAATTCTGTGGAGGAATTTATGATGATACACCTATGTATTCAATAGCATGAATTGTTTGAAAATCAGATTAAATATTGCTGCATGAAGTTTGTCACATTGAAACATCCAGAAAAACAACAAACGTTAAACATGTTCAAAGGATTTTTAAACGCTCTGCCTATGAAAAGGTAATTTTGAGAAACTTCTGGTCTGCCCGTGGGAGTGTTTGTGCTGGTAAAAATTGGAAGAGGGGCAATCCTAACTGTAGCCTAATGTTAGAAAAACATAAAACAAAGCTTGAGCGAAATGCTCATCATGGAATCAGTTGAGACTACATAACAGAAATGCCATTGCCCTCTGAGTTTTTACCATTTTGTCCCACATAGGATTTTTTGATTGTTTGCTTCTCTATTCCTGTCAATATTAGACATCTCTAGAAATCTCTAGAACAATGAGTAACCTGCCACTGAGTCTTCATCCATCCATTGCTAGGAAGACAAAATAAGATGAGGTGGAATCAGTATGTGCATTACCTCATCATCACCTCCCCCATCTAATTGTCCTTCCCTTTCCCTCATATCATTTTTGTCACCAAACTCCCCCCTTGTTTTCTTTCTTTTTTTTTGAGACAGGGTGTTACTATGTTGCCCAGGCTGGTCTCAAACTCCGGGGCTCAAGCAATCCTCCCATCTTGGTCTCCCGAATTGTTGGGATTATGGTGTGAGCCACAAGGCTTGGCCACTCCCCTTCTTTCCCCGTTCTCTGTGCTCCGCTCCCCATTTCCCCTTTTCAACTCAAGAAGCCATTCTGTCTTGTCTAACATGAAAGACTGTTCTGTTCTGAGCTCTTTGGAGACCCATCAAAGGCTGAGCCTCAGTGAGGTGATGACATGGGGGCCCGCTGAACACCAGATGTTATTGGTCCGGCAGAACACAGACAAGGCACATCAAAGCCAGAACAGTTTGGAGTGAGGGATTTGGACTGTGTGGCCTCCTGTGGACTTGGTGAAGGCGTGGGGTGGTTAAATGCTCTATGGTGTGTCCAAACATAGCGGATTTCCTCAGTGCCCAACTGCATGCCAGAACATTCTTTGCTGGAACGTGGTCAATCCAAAAAGAACTTCTGTTCCCATTGATATTCAAAGATAGCAAGATGACTCATATTTTTCACTTCACTTCCCCTAGCACAAATACAGCTGGTCTTATCTGTCCTATTTCCCATGATTGCTGTTGGTAGATGGTTAGTGGGAAATGCTCTACTTTTGTTCTGATACTGTTTCAGGCCTGGCTAGTAAGATCCAAGCCCCTATTTCAGGAGAAGAGTAGACCATGTTTAGTTTATTTTGTTTGTTTTTCAAGCAAAGATTTTAACAAACAAATAAATATTAAACCGTGGATCCCATTTTTCTCCTGTCCAAACTCGACTGCGTTCTTTCCACAGCTTCTGGATGTAGCATACTTTATATTTCAGTCTGTAATTCATGCAGTTTTAATTCTGTCAGTGAAATGGCCTTCCTTTTTTTGACTTTTCCCTCTCAGTCTCATTTTAAACGCAGAAAATTTGAGCAGAAACAATGAAACGCAGACACTTGCAGTGAGGTTGGTAGCTGTGTGGTGGGGCGTGGGGACAGCTGCCCCAGGCTGCTCTGGGAAGCCTCCCTGTATCCCAGTTCTTTTGGTCACTGAGGTGTTAGCTGAGACATTTTAAGATGCATAAAATTTTTCAGAAAGCACTCATTCTATGGTCTGCAGTACATTCTCAGTCCCCTGGATGTAGCTGTCTGTTCTAGCTACAGCTAATTACAAATGGTCAGGATCTCAGTAGCTGAAGGGCAGATGCCTTGATCTTGCTGCTTTTCTGAATAAGTTACACCTCCATCATAAAGTGAGGAGGAGAAAATGTCTTCTAGACAAGACTGAGCAAGCGTCAACTGCTTTGTGCTTCCCTGGCTTGGGGGCAGTTATCAGCGTAGCCTGTGGGAGTGAATCTTTAAGCCAGCCAGGACCCTTTCGTTGAAGACCAGGAGAACTTGCTTTGTCGTGTCCCCAGACTTCTCCATATCAGACAATATACTGTCATTTAGGCTCAGTCCTACAGGTAATTGAGATGGGAATGATGGTAGAGGAGGAGGAGGATGTGGCAGTGGAGGAGATGACAATACCGAAAACAATATAATAACAGCTAGCTTGTGTCTAGTGCTTACCATGTATACGCACTATTCTAAGAGCCTGATAGTATTTTTTTTTTTTGAGACGGAGTTTCACTCTTGTTACCCAGGCTGGAGTGCAATGGCGCAATCTCGGCTCACCGCAACCTCCGCCTCCCGGGTTCAGGCAATTCTCCTGCCTCAGCCTCCTGAGTAGCTGGGATTACAGGCACGCGCCACCATGCCCAGCTAATTTTTTGTAGTTTTAGTAGAGACGAGGTTTCACCATGTTGACCAGGATGGTCTCGATCTCTTGACCTCGTGATCCACCCGCCTCGTCCTCCCAAAGTGCTGGGATTACAGGCTTGAGCCACCGCGCCCGGCCGAGCCTGATAGTATTAACGCAAATAGCCTTTGCAGTGACACTGTAAGGTTAGTCCTGTTAGTACCTGTGTTAGTCCATTCTCGCTCTGCTATAAAGAACTACCTGAGACTGGGTAATTTATAAAGGAAAGCGATTTAATTGATTCACAGTTCTGCAGGCTGTAGAGGAAGCATGGCTGCAGGCCTCAGGAAACTTACAATCATGGCAGAAGGGCCAAGGGAAAGTAAGCAGGTCTTCAACGTGGCAGCAGGAGAGAGCGAGCAAAGGGGGAAATGCAACATACTTTTAAACAACCAAATCTCATGAGAATTCACTATTACAAGAACTGTAAGAAGGAAATCTGCCCCCATGTTCCAGTCACCTCCCACCAGTTTCCTCCCTCAACACTCATCTTGATTACCATTCAAGATGAGCTGTCAGTGGAGACACAGAGTCAGACCATATCAGTATCCTTACATAACAGAAGAGAAACTGAGTCATAGGTAAATGATGTAATGTGCCCACATCCCACAGTCAAGAAGTGGTAGAGTTGAGATTCAGCAGATGAAGCCTGACTCAGAACCTGTGCCCTGAACATCAGTGTGATCCTGCTTCCTGGCTAAAGCCTTTGGTGGATAGGGGCGAGTAGCAGGCTTATTCCCTCTATTCTTGTATCTTCAGTGCTCAACCACAGAGTAATGCTCATCAGACATGAAATTAAGTTCATTATTAGGTGGCTGTAGGTCACATCTCATTATACTGGTCACTTTGCAATATAATTCAGGCAGAGACCTGCTTGTTACCAACAGAAGCTTGTAACATAGGCTCTTTATTTTGATTCATCATTCAAAGATTCACATGCCTTTTTGTTTTCTTTTCTTATTATGCAGGGACTTGACTTTGTCCCTTTGCACCACTGTGATTGCACCACTGCACTCTAGCCCAGGCAACATCACAAGTCTGCGTGGCCATTCCTCAGTTGGTGTTGGACAAGAGTGACTGATGGCATGTGTCATCTTATAACTATACACAGTTTGGAAATAACTGAAATTATATTTCAAGGTTCAAAGGTTTCAATGTCAGACATACAGCTGAGTTTTTATTATTTTCTTTTAAACACTTGCTTAGCCCTTGAAAACTTCATGGGTCATTTGCCCTGTAAGAGTTCCCAGAGCAGAGTGAATGTGCTGGGGCCACCATGGCCGCCACAGCTCAGGGGTGCTCCAGCCGTGCGTGTCCTGGCTGGTCCAGGAGGATGCACATGTTGAAGGTAAACAGAGAGGACACTGTGACAGCCACTGGTCTGCCCAAGTACCCATTACACTGTTTTAATTTCCTTCCATTAATGATAGTATATATCATTGTGTATATTCTCAAAGAATTCACACATAGGCAATCTCATTTAATACTCACAATGTTCTCATTTAAGACTCAAGGCCAGGCACAGTTGCTCTCACCCAAAATTCTAAGACTTTTAGAGGCCAAGGCTGGAGGATTGCTTGAGCTCAGGAGTTTGAGACCAGCCTGGGCAACACAATCAGACCTTGTTTCTACACAAAATTTTTAAAATTAGCCAGGCGTGGTAGTAGTCCCAGCTATTCAGGAGGCTGAAGTGGGAGGATTGCTTGAGCCTAGGAGGTTGATGTTGCAATGAGTTATGATCGCACCACTGTACTCCAGCCTGGGCGACAGAGCGAGACCCTGTCTCAGAAAAGGTGTTCTCAGTTAAAGACTTTTACTCCAAGTAGGACTGGTGTTCAGAGACAGTACTTTGACATTTTAAAGGTTCACACTTAAATTATCTCACTTGATCACAACCACAATCCTGTGAGATTATAATTGCATTAATAACATATATTAATGTTAATAAAGGAATATTGAGGCCAGGCACAGTGGCTCACACCTGTAATCCCAGAATTTGGGGAGGCCAAGGCAGGCAGATCACCTGAGGTCGGGAGTTCAAGACCAGCCTGGCCAACACAATGAAACCCCATCTCTACTAAAAATACAGAAAATTAGCTGGGCATGGTGGCACATGCCTGTAATCCCAGCTACTCCAGAGCTGAGGCAGGAGAATCTCTTGAACCTGGGAGGCCGAGGTTACAGTGAGCCGAGATCACACCACTGCACTCAGCCTGGGCAATAAGAGTGAAACTCTCTCTCAAAAAATTTTTTAAAAAGGGGCCAGGTGAGGTGGCTAACGCCTGTAATCCAAGTACTTTGGAGGCCAAGGCGGGCAGATCACCTGAGGTCGGGAGTTCAAGACCTGCTTGACCAACATGGTGAAACCCCATCTTTAAATAAATAAATAAATAAATAAAAATTTAAAAAATTTTTAAAAATATTTTTAAAAAGGAATAATGAATAATATTTATTAAGCACTCACTGTGCACTAAATGCTTGATATGTGTTTCATCATTTGATCCTGTGAGGTGGATGTTATTTTATACGCCATGTTATTGCTGAGAAAATGTCTAGGACAGGGCCACAATGCTGTTAGAGGAAAGGATTATTATCCTGATTTTACAGATGAGGAAACTAAGACCCCTGAGCTGGCTTAAATCCTGTCATTGGGTTGTGGTGGAGTTAAGAGTACCAGCCAGCTCTAGTCAGGTCTAACTCCAGCCTTTATCTTATATCCAGCAGACTAGTCTGTATTTAAAATAATACACCAGCACAGGTGTGGTGGCTCACGCCTGTAACACTAGCGCTTGGGGAGACTCAAGTATGAGGATTGCTTGAGCCCAGGAGTTCAAGGCTGCAGCGAGCTATGACTGTGCCACTGCACTCCAGCCTCGGTGACACAGCAAGACCCTCTCTCAGAAAATTTTAAATTAATTAAAAATGAAATATCCCACCAGTGACACATGATGGCCAGGTTCTCCAGTTGCTGGTATAAACTGATGCATAAAACCCAGCTGGGCCAGAGTCCCTTGCTTTCTCTTGTACCTGGGCATGGGCAGTGGGTGAGTGCTTCCTGAAATGAGGGAATGAGGAATGCTCTAAGGGAAGCCTCCTGTCTCAGGACCTTGTGCTTTCTCTCTTTTCTTGCAGAAGGTGGAAGTGCCCATGATGCTGAGGCTCCTCAGGGAGCAGAGGATGTTCATGATCCAGACCATCGCTCAATACAAGTTTGTCTACCAAGTCCTCATCCAGTTCCTCCAAAGCTCCAGACTCATTTAATCCCCTAATCCAGCTCCTGGAGGAGGGACTCAGCTCCATCCCACAGGAGGAGAGTCACCTCCAGACAACATCTGCTCCCGCCACAGGGGTGCAGGTGGCTGGCAGCAAGCAGGCTCTCTGAAGACAGGAGCCAAGATTATTCACACATACCATGTATTATTTTATATGAGATAATTTATTTTTTCCTCTTTGGAATAACTTTTGTGAATTATTATAATGCAGTTTTCCTCATAATAGAGAACTTTTCATTTCAACCACATCTTGACTGATCTGCATTGTATTAGGAAATGTTTCCTGGTGAATCATTTTGGGGACAGAGGCATGAGGGAGCACATCTCTTGTGAAGTTGCAGCCAGATTTGTAACCAACCCTGAAATTCATCAGCTTAATTCATTCATCAGCTTAATTAATTCATCATGCATTGTTTATGTCCAAAGCAAAGATGGCAAGAAAATAAATTCATCCTGAAATATAAAGAAAAGGATCTGAAGGAACAAACACGATTCTCTTATATTTTGGGGCTCATGAGCCTTGATGGACAATTTTCCCTCTTCTCTTCTGCCCTTATCCTCAGCAATCTCCTCTCCCCGACACCCTACCCAGCATCCCCCCCACCCCATGCTTGATTTAAAGGTAGAACAGCTAAAAGACAGCATTGCCTTTACGGTGCAATAATTGCTGCCTTTAGGGCTGAAACAGAAGCTCTGTGTTGTGCTTTTCTTGACCACCCCTTATTCTGGGCTCTGGAGCTTGTCCCCTGCTAGTGACTGCACCCTGGGTATTTGCTGCTACCTCTCCTGTTTGCTCAGTAGGGCCCTGTCTGGTGGCATTGAGGCCATATGTGCAGTTAAGGCTCTTCCCTGATTGAGAGAGGATAGCAGACCAGAGTAGAAAGAGAAAGGAGTTGGGCAGAGCCTTGAGGATTATATTTTTCAGGCAGGGCCTTGATGATCAGTGCTTTTTGTTTAAATAAGATGCGTATGCTGGACAGAGACGAGAAAGTTGAGGTGCTGGCTGTGTTCCATCTTTCCATCAGTCACTAAGTCATTGGAAAGGTCATCAGGGAAACAGTTGGGGAAGCTGATTTATGGGAGCGGTTTGGCATTTAGCTACGTGGCAGGGGTCCTGGCCAGGAAACACATCAAATGTGGCCCCCCACTGTACTGATGTTATCTTTAGGCTTTGGCCTGCAAGAGCAGAATTAATCCCACTCAGGACCCCATAGTCCAAATTTTGGGCCACTTGATGAATGATGGTAGAATTTCTCATTCACAAAACCCTTTGCTTCTTTCCTTTTCTCCATAAAATCTACTCTCTGGTCAGTTATGGTATTAACTACCTTCAGTTTGAATCCCAGTTCTTAGTTTCTTCCTGTGGCTTCATTGGTCAGTGTGTATTTTTGAATTTCTTAGGTTAATACACAATAAATCATGTTTTGCACATTTTTCCTCTTCATTTTGGGGGATTTATCATTCTATGTCTACTTTTTCTTGAGTACAGCTTTGATATGCACCCATTGGCACATGGCAATGGGAAGTCACAGGGCATGCTCTTTCTGGTTGATTTGATGCCACAACTTCCTTGTCTTTTCAGCTCGGGGAAAAGGCAGCAGCGGAGGGAGGCATATGGAACACCCACAGTGGTCAGTTCCAGGAACAAACCTGCAATTTAAAAATGAGCCAGCCAGTTGTGGTGGCTCACACCTGTAATCCCAGCACTTTGAAAGGCCAAGGCGGGCAGATTGCTTGAGCTCAGGAGTTCGAGATGAGCCTGGGCAACATGGTGAAACCCTGTCTCTACAAAAAGTACAAAAGTACAAAAACTAGCCAGGCATGATGGCATGCACCTGTAGTCCCAGCTGCTCAGGAGGCTGAGACAGGAGGATAAGAATTGAAGACTGCAGTGAGCTGTGATCTTGCCACTGCAGTCCGGCCTGGGCTACAGAGAGACCCTGTCTCTAAAAAATAAATCAATAAAAAGGTTGTCAAGGAAAACTAGATGTAATAGAAAGGAAAATTTAATTGCAGTTTTTTTTTCTTAGAATTGACTGCTGTGAGAGTTCTATATGCCTTTCTTCATTGCTGCTTTTTCCCCCGGGCTGAAGAGATGAAGGAGGGGCACCAAATCAACCAGAAAAAGTAGACCTTTGTGACATCTCATCACCACATGCTAACAGGTGCGCATTCCCCATTAAGTTCTTTGGAATATGAATCCTCTCAGTTTCAGCTTGGCCAGGTGTTGTGGTGGCTGTACTCTGTATTTAGAATATCGGGGGATGGAGGGCTTCCTCTCTGTCCTCTGCTTCAAGGTCTGAAGACTCGGTGAAGGAGTATAATCTGAGCTTTGTAGATTCTGGAGTTTTGTTGTATGTCCTGGAAAGAAAACCATTCATATTACATGTATTTTCAGTGGAATAGAGCTTATAACCCTTATTATAAGAAGCTCCTCAATAGGCACAAAGGTATTTGTTTCCTTTCCTTGGGGGTTTTTCCATCCTTGGTATATTCCACTGTTAGGGATGTTTTAGCAAGTGGTCTCAGTTACTGTTTTATTGCATGATGACCAACATCAGTATTTATCTTTTATCTCTAAGCTCCAAGGTGGGCACTGTTAGAACATCTCATGTGGGCAGCATATAGATCTGGTGTCTCTTTGAGGTCATCAGAGCTCATGGGCTTCCTTGAAATTCATCCATTGTTCCTGCCGTATGCTACAGGAATATTCCTTAGTACACAAATGCAGGGAGGAAGTGGGTTTAATATTCAACTTTCCTAGCCAGAGTTTATATTGAAACTCAAAAGAAAACATTTAAAAGTTGTTTCACATATTTCACTGTTAAAAACAAATGCCTTTGGTTCTTTAGCACATTTTGCATTCCTTTTCACATCTCGGGTAAATGCCAACATATCTCCTGTTAAGTTAGCAGCAGCCATTTAAAGTCCTTTCAGCGGCATCTGCATAATAATTGCCCAGAGATGCTTTATATCTGGGAAGCAAGCCAAGGAATAAACCTTGAAGCAAAGTGTATTAAATTAGTTATCTAGTTAGAGCTTTTGGAATGATTTCCTGATGATGTATCCGGTCTGAAGCTAGAGCTGTCAGTATCTATTGCTGCAGTTTGGATTTGAAGAGAGAAAATTAAAAATGGAGAAAAAAAAAAGTCATTGTCCCACAACAAAGCCATCAAACATTTTCCAGCCCCTGCTTTTGAAGTTTTCCAATTGGAATGTTTGGTTTCTTTCATCCACACTCATTTGGATACATTGACCCAAGGTATTCATCCTTGTTTACTGTGGTCCCTGGATCACGGGGGAACTGAATTTGATGTCTTAATCCTTGAGATGAGATGAGCCCGCTGGCTAAGCTGAGGAATGTCCTGCTGAGGTTTATTTGGTTTCCTTGGGTTCTAAGGATATACCAGATATACCACCTTTTAGCAAGAGTCTCTGGTAGCCTTTATAGATAGCATAGACATTGATACACACTTCTTTCCCCAGACAGGAAGTAAGGGAGGATTTAGTTGCATGAAAAAGGGATGTTAAACACTGATTTCCTTACATAGGAGTAAAGGAATGAGCTTCTCTATTCAGTCGGAGCTGAACAACCAGATCAGGGAAGGTAAAAACACCTGTATGGAATATTTTGAATCATAAGCTTTTGAGGAGCTTAAATTGAGAGAATTTTACTTTTAATTTTGTAGATTGAAAAGAGGAACTAGTTTTTTTAAAATTATAATTAAACTGCCATTGTTTTCCTAAGAGTCACTTGGCTGTCTCTGGCCACCTCTTTCATCAGCCTGAAGAAGGGATCTTTGTAGATTGCCAGGGGTGGGCCTTGTAGGACTTGACCATGGCTTACACCTACCTTTATCCTGCCTTCTTTCAGCTTATGCTTTTCAGTTGTAAACTCCATGGGGTCCAGCAGGCTGGCCTTTTCATCCAGCTGATTATTTTTCCAGCTTAATATAGACTGACCTATATGAAATTTCCAATAGTGGACCATATTTTCTGCGCACAGAGAATGTTCGCATGGATCACCTATTTCTTCCCCCTGACACAGTGTGGATCCCAACACCAGATGTCATTTCTCTTAAGTGTTGCTTATGAACACAAAAGGTGTTCCCCAGGTGGCCCAGCTGCCTTTGTGAGCCTGCTGCCTTGCTCTTAGTGATCCTTGCCTCACTTGGTGAATGGGCCATTTCCTCGGACATGGATGTCTCAGAGGTGATAGTGCACTGCAGCTTCTCGTAGGCCGGATTGGCCATCAGGCACCTCACTTTGGGGTTTTTAGCTGCTGTCCTTTCCTGATGTACAGCCTATGTTAGCTGACCTCAGCCTACTTGTTACGTGATGTACAGGTCACAAAGGTATTCTTGTCCAAAAGCAGAATGTGACTTCTAGTCTCTCCCCGTCTAATGGTGTATTTGATGGTGAAGATGAGTACAGTTAACTCCCCATTTGTGGGTCCAACATCCCTATATTCAGTCAAGTACAGATTGAAAATATTTGGAGAAGAGGGGAAACCCGCAAAGTTCCTAAAAGCAAAAGTTGAATTTGCCACATGCTGAATATTACATTGAATTTATGCAAAAGAAGTGATTTGTAGGCATTGAGTTAGGTATTGTAAGTAATCTAGAGATGATTTAAAGTATATAAGAGATGTGCATAGGTTATATGTAAATACTATACCATTTTATGTAAAAGACTGGAGCATCCATGGATAATGGTATTTGCAGAGGGTCCTAGATTGCCCCCTTTGGTAAAGGACAGCTGTATAGTTACTGGTTTTCATTTGGGGAAGATATGTCAATCCCTTGAGGTGGGGTTTGGTGGGTAGAGAGTACAGAGTATTCTAGCATGTGTGCCAGGGAGCACAGATTCAAGGGATGGGATTTGGGTCAGACCTATGTTCTTCCTCAATGTCAGAAATAACTCTTTGGAGCTCCTAGAGTAAGACATTTCTAGAAGCACCACATAATTACTGTTGGACTCTTACAGTAGCCCTTTGTGGGAATTTAGCATTACCACCGTTTTACCAACAATGATTCTGCCGCTGTGTTTTATTGTAGTGCCAGTGGGTTTTGAGACACTCATCATGCTCTTATTTAGTGATATCTTTTCAGGAGCAGAGCAGCAGCTCATCCAGCATGGTTTCCAAATGGAGAAATTTGGGTCTTCCATAGAAACGGCACGGATTTTCCAGTGGCCTACATACAGCTTTATGGTTGGCAAACTAGCTGGCTCTATAGGGTGCAAAGAAAGCTGTAAGATGTTAACCTGCTTTTTTTTTTTTTTTTTTTTTTTTTTTGAGACAGAGTTTTGCTCTTGTTACCCAGGCTGGAGTGCAATGGCACGATCTCGGCTCACCGCAACCTCCGCCTCCTGGGTTCAGGCAATTCTCCTGCCTCAGCCTCCTGAGTAGCTGGGATTACAGGCACGTGCCACCATGCCCAGCTAATGTTTTGTATTTTTAGTAGAGACGGGGTTTCACCATGTTGACCAGGATGGTCTTGATCTCTTGACCTCGTGATCCACCCGCCTCGGCCTCCCAAAGTGCTGGGATTATAGGCGTGAGCCACCGCGCCCGGCCTTGTTAACCTGCATTTAACACTTCTCTTGAACTCTGAGCAAGGAAGCAAAATAGTTCTTGTCTTTACTTAAGCTTCTAAGACATTTGGGGGCAAAGGACCTTACAGATGGCATCTGTTGAAAGTAACAGCAACAGGCAAATTCTGCCACCTCTAATGCATTGTCCAGAAGTCAGTGTTACTCAGGGAGCCCTGTGGAACGTGACCACCAGCTTGCCCAGTCAGCATTCAACCTTTATCCTGCCTGCTCTCAGCTTTTGTGTTTCTTTCAGAAACTCAGGTAAGTATTTTTATTCAGCAGACTACCTTTCTTAGCTTTCCAGCTTAATATAACTGCCCCTTCTTTCTCAAGGTGAAACTAAGATAGTCCCTGTTAAAATGTCCATGAGCCTAGCATTGAGTGTCTGGCATCAGTCAATTTCATAGACTGGAAAATGATTGTTATTTGGTGCAGCAAAGAGGAGGATGTGCATCAGTTCCTACTGTTTGGAGCTTTGTTTAGCCTTCCCATTTTAAAAATAAATTCAAGGACATTGAGTTATAAGGCAGGAGGGCCGGAGCTACTGGGCAGCCTGAATATGTGTAGAAAGTCATTGCTTCTTCTGCCACACTTTGGGCCATCAGGATCTTTCTTTCCCAAAAGTGCCATAAACTTGCCCAAGAGGTTCTGTAAATGGGAAGAGGGAGAGGAAGGATTTTTGGATCAGTCCTGAAGTTGCTATCCAAAGTTTTTTGTTTCACAGATAATTTTCTGAACCCTGGAGTGCCTCTCCTACTCTCTGCCCCCCTTTCTGTAATGTCAGAGTGATGGAAACCACCAAGTGGCATGTTAGGGAAAGCCTGCAGCAGTGTTGGAATCTATTTCACCCTAGCTCATCGTTTTAAACTGTCTTCACTGTTGAGGTAGAGCTTGATGAATGTCATCGATTATGACGCATGGTTTATCATGTTTGCCTGGATTTGCTGCTCAAAAGCACCATCTTCTCGCGCCTGCCACTGGCAGCCTTTCCTTGCCTGGCTTGTTAGCAGAGCATTCTGCTTACCCATGTGGCTTCCAGAGTTAGCAGCCCCGGCTCCTGCATGTCTTGATTCTTCTCCACTGTGATCTCAGAGGTGTGGCAGAGCAAGTCATGTTTATATTCAGGCCACAAAACTGGGATGTACATCCAGTGACTTTGGTGTTCCTTCGTCTTGGTCAGGGGAACGGGTGGGACTGGTGTGTGTAGTCACCTTCTTCATTCCATGAGCACCTTGTTCACTTAGGGCTCTGCTGCCTCTTCATATTTCTCTATCTGCTTTATGGATCACCTCTTAACAATACACTTTTTCTTTCCTGTACCTCTTCTGTGAGTGCAACCCCAACAAAAGAGTTAAACCTTGTCAGAGAATCACTGCCTTAAACCTCTCCAAAATATGTAATTAGAAAATCTAATTTTAATTTTTAAAAAACCGCTTGTATAGTTTCAAAGAATAAGATCTGGCAAATGGCCAGACACAGTGGCTCATGCTTACAATCAAAGCAGCACTTTGGGAGGCCAAGGCAGACAGATCACCTGAGGTCAGGAGTTCGAGACCAGTCTGGCCAATATGATGAAATCTCGTCTCTACTGAAAATACAAAAATTAGCCGAGCATCGTGGCGGGCTCCTATAACCCCAGCCACTTGGAGGCTGAGGCAGGAGAATTGCTTGAACCTGGAGGTGGAGGCTGCAGTGAGCCAAGATCATGCACTTCCCTCCAGCCTGGGTGACAGAGGGAGACTTCGTTTCAGAAAAAAAAAAAAGATCTAGCAGATGAAAAATAAATAGAATGAAAATAGCCAAAAACTTCAGCAAGCAGGAAGCTCCCTTTCCCACCCTTTTGCTCCCTTGCTGATAATCACTTAGTATTATAAGAAATGAAAGGAAAGACAGTATTAGCTCTATTTAATACAATGACTACAGCAGTACTTAATATTTTTTTCAAGGTTAACATATGGATTGAGAGAGGCTACATTTGGCAGAGTGATGTGTAGGCAGACCCCTTTGTCTCTACCTTCTCCCTGCTGGACCATGCTTTCTTCATCATAGTCTCTTTACACAGACTGGCATTCTAGTGAAACAGGTGGTAAACCTTTGGGCTGCCCAGAAACATGTACAGTTTTATTTGATCCGTTTTCACTTACCTAGGAAGGGATAAGATTAGCTGGTCCTCCAAAATCTGTATGTAAGCTATCTTCTTTTTCTTCCGCAACCTTCTCCTTCTGGGAAACACAAAAGCCGTCTCACCTGACAAAAGATTGTAGAGGATATAGCTGAAAAGATTGGATTGGGATCTTTTTGTGGCGTGGGGTAGAGCCTTTTGCTAAAATCTCAAGAATGCTGCTTTGAGTTTAGCTAGGGTGGCTCTCAGAGCTCCTTGCTCTTGAGCATAGAACTGAATGCTGTAATTCAGAGCCTTTTTTCTTTCCAACTTGAACATTGTACAATTTTACTGCAGTTTCGTTTGAACTTTCTTGCCACTGTGTGGAATCTTAAAAATTCGTTAGCTTTCTTCTTTCTGACATAAAGTTGCTCTTCATAAGAGATTAGTTCTTTGTTCCTTCAA